TCCCGAGAGAGACAAACGCACTGAGAGACACCGGTAGATGGTCAGCGTGGCAGTCTGGATGAACATCTGTAGAGAGGCGAAGAGACATTTATTGAGAAAGAACCTCACCAGCAGGAGCACTTCTTCAATGACACCAGAACCACCTACAGAAGAAGTCACCAACCACCATCTGGTACCAGGCCGCACCACAGAAAGAATGGACTTTTTTTTCTGAATATTGACCGTATTCTCTCCTAATCACGTGTGCTCGTCTCTTTTGGCATATTTCCCAAGCGTCAGCAAGCATGTCTACACAAGAGCCACCTACAGGACCCAGAAGACCTCTTCAACGACGTAAGAACCACCTACGGGACCCAGAAGACATCTGCAGTGAAACAAGGAGTGGTAGTTTGTCCACCGCGGTTGATGTTTCTAGCGAATATTTCCTGAACTAAGAAATAATGGACATCTACAAGTTAGAGAAATCTTCATCTCATAATGTTTTTAAAAATGTCTGCGTGTGAGTAGGCAGGGAATTCATCTGGTGATGAAGAAACACACATTATTCACTGTGGGTTTTCTGGACCATCTTCTACTGAAGTAGTCAGTCCACTACTTCAAGAGGACGAGCAATTCTTTTAATTGTCACGTCTTTAGTTTAATCTTGCAAACACACACTATCAATCTCAGGTTCCTTCTGCTTCTCCTTCAAGGAAGGAAGCAAGGAGGGAAGGAAAGAGGGAAACAACAGCAAATTTGAGTTATGGATTTACGTGTGAAGATGGTCCGCTCTGAATCCATCGATGTTTCCTCAACGTTAAACCAGCCGGCTCTTTTGTTTTCAATCTGTTTCTGGCTTTTATTGTCTCTGTTTGAGTTTAGTGGAGCTCTTAGAAACGTGTTGGTTAATAATCTGTATAATCCTCCTGTTTGCCTGGAAATGACTCCCTGGTTTATCAGACTCGTCCCTCCCTGAACTCATGATAACCTACAGACACTAAAAACATCTCTCGCACAGCTTCCACCTCCTCTCAGAAGAAACAGAACTTCCTCAATTCAAAATTTCAATTGGCTTCTCTGGAGCTTTATACTGAAAGTACCTGCATATTCATTTTCTGTTCTTTCTGCGGAGGTCTGAACTGGATTTTAACTTGTCCACTGACCTCACGGATGCATCAAAGACCTTGTTCTGACCTTCCTGGTTAACTATAACAGCCTGTGGATGTCAATGTGCAGTAATGACTACATGAGTACATGATTACATACATATATATATATATATATATATATATATATATATATATATATATCCAGTATAGGAACCAGTAAATCAAAGGTGAAGGCAGTGGGCAGTAATGATGGCAATCTCTGAATTGATCCTGTTCATTTGAGTACATTTGTCTTACCTTCTCCGTAGACTTTGCAGTACCAAAAAAGATTGGTACAAAGGCCATCCAGATGACGCAAGTGGTGTACATGGTGAATCCAATTGGCTTGGCCTCGTTGAACGTCTCCGGAACACCTCGACTTTTCACAGCGTACACCGTGCACGTCACCTAGCAACAAAAATAGCACAAGTTACCTAGCAACAAAGCCAGGACAGGCTTTTTACAACGCTCACCTTACCTAACACCTTACCATAAGTACGATACTGTAGCTGAGGCAACAGATGATTGACAGGTCAGACATGTCACATTTCAGAATGCCTCGGGCCAGATCCGGGTTGGGGGGGCGGAGCTCCTCGTAGTCGATGATGGTGTGAGGAGGGACGACGCCGAACCACACAAACACCCCGAGGACCTGAAAGACGAGTGTTGACGGATGAAGCAGGGCCATGTCACAAGCTGTGGGACAGACGGTAGTCTGAGACCCGTGTTCTCACCTGGACTGAGATGAGGATGAAGGTAATGATGAGCTGTGAGGTGGGGCTGATGAACTTGGGTGGGGTCACCGACCTCTTTCCCTGTTCGAAGATGCGGTAGATGCGGTTGGTTTTGGTCAACATGGCAGAGTAGGTAATGGCCATGCCGAGGCCCAACAGGAGGCGACGGAACGCACAAGCCACCGCACCGGGCTCCGCGATCATCAGGAAAGTGATCAGGTAGATCAGGAAGATCCCTGCAGAGAGGGGGGCAGGTAGTCAGCCTCACGGCTGGGATTTATTCTCCTGGGGGGAGATGAACACTGATTCCATCAAAGACAAGCTTGCAGCCTGGAACTGCCCCGATGCCCAAATCACCTTCACCACCAGAATTGAGGGAGTTCTCACTACCATCACCTCACCTCTTCTTGGAACCTCCAAGCATGGCCACATCCTGCCCATCAGTGACCAGGAGGGTTCTAGTGAGCAGAGCCCTGGATCCACAAAACAGCTTTGTTCACCTCATCCAGACATCTGGTCCTCCAGGAATACTTTGGGCTGAAACTGACCCTGCCATGCCGTGAGTATGTATCCTTTCCTTTACCAGTAGGGTCCCTGGCACAAAGCTCACTGCAACATTACTCTGTGTTTCGTAGACCAGGTAACTTTGATTTAACCGAGACACACTGAATCAAACAATATGTTTAATAGGGATCTTTTTCTGTCCCTTGGTCATCCGTCCTCTACCAACTGCAATAAGACTGTAGAACAAAACACCTCTGACTACGCGGATGACTACTTGTTTGAACGCTATCGTTTTTATTCACTGTCCATCAAATATGTCCATGACCTCAGCCGTTCTCACAGAAGTAACGTCCCCATGGTGGACGTGCTCTCACATACGAGCACATTCTTTGTGTAGTATCACGTGTTTTCCTTTACAACATTAGAATATCAGTAAAGCTGCTGCATGCAGAGCCGTGAGAAACGTCTTTTAAACCTTTTTGTTGGACACAAACCAGTGAGACGTTAAAGAGGAGTTCAGCAGGACGCACCTGAAGGACACATTACAGGTCCAACACCATCGAACCAGCTTATACCAGCCATATTATTCTAAATATGAGCATGTGTGTGTATTTCCAGCCTGTGTGTAGTGTATTCTACCAAACAGTGTAAAAACTGGGAATTAGTAAAACGTATGGATTATGATTAGTGTGTACATTAAATATTAACACTATATTGGAACATAAGCCGTTTCTCTGTCTTTTGCTGCAGTAGCGTGTTGCTTTTCTTTCTAATTACGGGTTCATACTCGTACGCTTGCATTTATATTTGCAGGTGAATATATTGTTTGTGGTGGTTGCCATGGTAACAGCCTTCATACTGTGATGGTGCTGAGTCAACCCACTCCGAGTTGATTGAACCAACTCCAAACAGCTGTTCTGAAACCCAAAACTCAGAGTTTGTTAAACCTCCTACTTGAAACGGACCCCAGACCTTCTATTCTATATTCTATTGAACCAGCAATCTTTGGTGGGGTGGGACCATCAGGAGAACCTTTTGAGTCCATAAAATTGATATGGACATTTTATTGTATTTATACATTATGTTTCTCTCATTGAATAATGACTCTGCAGTCAGCTGTCTGGTGATGTAGTTTCTCTGGTGTCCAGCAGCACTGTAAATACCAGGATGTGTCCTTCAATGTTCAGCAGACCTCAAGAACTTTTTTCATCTACGTAATATATCAAAAATCAACTTGCTGTCACAAAGTGATGCAGAAAAACAAGTTCATGCGTTTGTTACTTCTAGACTAGATATGCGATTCTTTATTATACGTCTCTGAAGCCTCTCCAGTTGATCCAGAATGCTGCAGCACGTGTGTGTCTGTGAGGACAGTGTGTGCAGACTAAAGCCTTCTGCACATACAGCAACAATCAGAAGGACTTCGGGCCAAAGAGAAGGCCTACAGGAAGCTGGAGAACCAACAACTAGCTGCTCTCCTCTCTAAAGGATGCAGTCCACGTGGGACTGCACCAATGCCCTGGAGCTGTTTACACTCAGAACTCTGAAGATGACAGTGGACTTCAGGAGGAGCCCCCCCCCCCCTCATACTCAACACCACTGTCAGCTGTGACTCCTGTCAGCAGTAAAGTCGGTAGTAGTACCCACCTGTCAGCAGTACTCGTCGGTAGTAGTACCCACCTGTCAGCAGTACTCGTCGGTAGTAGTACCCACCTGTCAGCAGTACTCGTCGGTAGTAGTACCCACCTGTCAGTAGTAAAGTCGGTAGTAGTACCCACCTGTCAGCAGTACTCGTCGGTAGTAGTACCTACCTGTCAGCAGTACTCGTCGGTAGTAGTACCCACCTGTCAGCAACACTCGTCGATAGTAGTACCCACCTGTCAGCAGTACTCGTCGGTAGTAGTACCCACCTGTCAGCAGTAAAGTCGGTAGTAGTACCCACCTGTCAGCAGTACTCGTCGGTAGTAGTACCCACCTGTCAGCAGTACTCGTCGGTAGTAGTACCCACCTGTCAGCAGTACTCGTCGGTAGTAGTACCCACCTGTCAGTAGTAAAGTCGGTAGTAGTACCCACCTGTCAGCAGTACTCGTCGGTAGTAGCACCCACCTGTCAGCAGTACTCGTCGGTAGTAGTACCCACCTGTCAGCAGTACTCGTCGGTAGTAGTACCCACCTGTCAGCAGTACTCGTCGGTAGTAGTACCCACCTGTCAGCAGTACTCGTCGGTAGTAGTACCCACCTGTCAGCAGTACTCGTCGGTAGTAGTACCCACCTGTCAGCAGTACTCGTCGGTAGTAGTACCCACCTGTCAGCAGTACTCGTCGGTAGTAGTACCCACCTGTCAGCAGTACTCGTCGATAGTAGTACCCACCTGTCAGCAGTACTCGTCGGTAGTAGCACCCACCTGTCAGCAGTACTCGTCGGTAGTAGTACCCACCTGTCAGCAGTACTCGTCGGTAGTAGTACCCACCTGTCAGCAGTACTCGTCGGTAGTAGTACCCACCTGTCAGCAGTACTCGTCGGTAGTAGTACCCACCTGTCAGCAGTACTCGTCGGTAGTAGTACCCACCTGTCAGCAGTACGTAGCTGAGCTCCCTCCCTGATGCCCTGACGATGGGTGTGTCATTGAAGCGGATGAAGGTGATCACCACAGCACTCGTTGCTACGATGCCTAGTAGAGCAAGAGAAGCAGGTACTAGGGCCCAGGGAGAGTTCCACTCCAGTTTGATGATTGGAGTCGGACAACAAGTGGTTCTGTTGGGGGCGGGACGCATGTTTGATGGACAGGTCTCACAGGTAAACTCATCCAATTGGTACTGATACCCATCACAGAGCTGCAGACAGATCAGTGAGTTATCTTATCATATGTATTAAATCAAGCAAGACATTAAAAAGACAGACAAAGACACTGGGACAAGTCGTCTCTCTGACTTGTTGAGAGAGAGACGTGTAGCTGCTAGTCAATCAGCTACAGCCTAGTGGACCAGGAGGACATATTGACAAACTAAAGGGGTTTAAACCACAATGTCTCTGGAACATTAGCCCTCTGGTTCTCTGTCTGCCAATAATGAAGATATACAATGAAACGAAGATTGGAACATGATTCTCTAAAGACCCTCAGCGCCCCCTTCAGGGTGCACTGTAAATGGATGATGGAGAAGGAACATCTCCATCTGGAGATGTTTATAATTCACCACTATTGTAAGATCACATAAACATATTCACGTGTACTTTAGAGGGAATCTCAATGAGTGGTTGTGGGTTTACCTCACAGTGCCAGCAGCATGGAACTCCTTTCACCATCTTCTTTCTCTCCCCGGGGTTACAGGGAAAACTACAGATGGAGTCCGGAACGGACTTATCTCCTCCAGACCACTGCATCTCATCCAACTGACGGACAGAGAGAAAGAGAGACAGACAGGTAGATAGACACAGGTAGAGAGGCCGATAGGTACAGACAAACAGAAAGCTACATCGAGAGAGACGCGGGTAGCGCCGGTACCCGCAGGGTTGATGGTTTGAGCCCTAGCTGCTCCATGTCCCGTGTCCCTGACCGAGACACTCAACCCTAACTCCCGGGCACCTTTACGGCAGCACACTGCCCCCACTCTGTGGGATGGGTTAAATGCAGAGAACAATGTTCCCACAGGCATTAAGAGAATATACTTCATTTCTTTTCTTTCAATTCTAGATAGAAACAGGTAGAGAGAGAGGGAGAGAGAGAGAGAGGGACACCGGTACAGAGAGAAAGACGGGTTCATGGAGAGAGACAAGTAGAGAGACACGTAGTAGGAGAGAGAGAAGTCGGTCCAATCAGTTTCTTACATTGAGTTTCAGGTTGTTGGTCCACTGGCCGATGACGTGGTAACCAGGATGGCTGTGATTGGTCATCTGGAACTGGAAGATGTCATAACGTCCAGGAGCATCCCCGTTCTCATTGAACAAAACACTGGTACCTGCACTTCCTGTGGCATGCGAACAGAATGAGATCGGTCGGAGAGGAAGCCGCCCAGCTTTGGTTCTACAAGTGTTTCTACCTGTGGTTCTACCAGTGTTTCTATTAGTGTTTTTCCAGTGTTTCCACTGGTTGTTCTACTGGTGTTTCTACCGGTGTTTCTACCAGTGTTTCCACTGGTTGGTTCTACAAGTGTTTCTACCGGTGTTTCTACCAGTGTTTCCACTGGTTGGTTCTACAAGTGTTTCTACCGGTGTTTCTACCAGTGTTTCCACTGGTTGGTTCTACTAGTGTTTCTACCGGTGTTTCTACCAGTGTTTCCACTGGTTGGTTCTACAAGTGTTTCTACCGGTGTTTCTACCAGTGTTTCCACTGGTTGGTTCTACTAGTGTTTCTACCGGTGTTTCCGCCTTTGGTTCTACTAGTGTTTCTACCAGTGTTTCTCTACCTATGTTTCTACCAATGTTTCTACCCGTGTTTTACAAGTGTTTCCACTTAAGGATTCTTCCTGTGTCTACCCTAACCCTCTACCAGTGTTTCTACCACTGCTTTTATCAGTTTATCATACTATACGTGGTTCCACCCACTTTTCTACCTTTCTACATTTAATAAAACACATGAATAAATACATAAATAAACAGTTGGATAGAAACAAAATATCTTCTTTATGCACACTTTAATTATTGACACAGAGGAATACACTTGACGCTGAGTGTAACACCCAGACTGGGGTGTTAGGTCACTGTTTTCTGTTGTGTTTCCTGTCATTCACCCTGCCTCTCGTTTCAGACACCTCCCTCCTTGTGTGCCGTCGGCCTCAGTGATTGTAAGCCCCGCCCTTATGGTTTCCACCTGTATCTCGTTCCCCTGTGTATTTAGTCTGTGTCGACTGCTTGTTTTGTGCCAGTTTGTCGCTATTGTTTTCATGAGTTTACCAGCGAGTTACAGGAGTTTGCCTTCCCGTGTTTCGACCTGTTTCTGTCTACCTGTGAATCTTTGCCCACCATTTTGGATTAATCCGTCTGCTCTGTCTGACTACCGATGAACCGAACCCCTGTCTGAAGTAAAGACATTGTTTTTTGACCCAGACTACCTCGCCTTGAGTCTGCTTTTGAGTCCAGGCCCTTGTGGCCCCAGCTCCTTAACAGGGAGCAGATGAAGGTGACCCAGATGGTGTCGGACCAGATGAGCTGAACCAGATTAGCCAGCTTCACCTGAACCAGATGGTTTGAGACCAGATGAAGCTGAAGCTCAACCAGGTGGAATGAGGCCAGGTGAAGCTGAACCTGGTGGTGTGGAACCAGATAAAGGGGGGTTTGGTACAAGATGAAGCTGAACCAGGTGGTTTGCAACCGGGTGAAGCTGCACCTGAACCTGATGTGGTGTGGAATCCAGATGAAGCTGAACCAGGTGGTGTGGGACCATATTAAGCAGTTTCATCAGAAAAGGTGTGAGAAGGAGCAGCTGTTACAGACAAAATCCAGCTTAGGCGTAAATTCAGTCAGCAAGAGAAGCCGCAGGTTGCCTCACTATCACTGTAAGCTGTCAGTTGATTGGGGGCGGGCTCGTTTAGAACTAACAAACCAGACACGGGCACCGTTTTGGTGAACCAATTACGTCGCTGCTGTCAAACTTTAAAACCTGCTCCCCTCTCTACTGCTGTCAGCTGTCACTTCAGGGTGCACCAGATGAGCCCTCCAACACCTCCATCAGAAGCAAAGCTTGGTGTATCGTAGCATGGCAGCAAATTTATTCACCACCACCACCAGTGTCTGGGCTCCAAGGCGGGATGCCTCATCTGATCTCAACATCCCCGGGACAGTCCGGCAAACTAGAATATTTACATTTTCTTAAAGAAATGCGACGTGCCTGATCATGCTTGCTCATCTGCTGCCTTCCAGCCAGCTTCTGAAGACGTTGGTGATTCATGTTTGAAGGTAGTTGGATAATTCATTAAAGGGATGTGGTTGTCTTCTACTTATGGCCGAAATACCGGCGCAAATCCGGTTCCTCTCCCTCCATCACATCCTGTGTGTTCTCACCATTGAAATTGACGGCTCTGATGTAGTCCAGCAGCAGACGCCCCTCCACCGGGTCCATGTCACTGCAAACTCCGGCGCTGCTGCGACACAGGTCCAGGTGCATGCTGTGCAGCGCGTAGGCCACGGCGTAGACCGCATCAATCACAAACTGGACCTTCCCCTCCTGCTCGTAGGCCGAGTCCTGACCGATCCGTTCCTCACCTGCAAGAACAAACGTATGGTGAAAGGACGACGGGGGTTCCACCGTCAGGGGCCGCCTCCTCAGGTCCTACCTGTGCACTTCTTCTTCTCGGGGTCCACTTTGATTCCAGGACGGGTCAGTTTACACCTGAAGTCGTCCTCCCAGAATTCATTGAACCAGATGTTCCTCCGGTTGTTCTCCAGAGAACGAGACACAAAGTACTGATCAAACCCTGCGCACAAACACACAGTCAGGTTCAGTCTCTTTCATCCCGCCATGTTTTTAGGATTATCTTTACCGTCTATTGAAGCTCGTTTGGGCAGGATCGTCACAGCGCCCTCGGCAACATCCTCTAGCTCGGTGATTGGGGAACCTTTCGCGCCCCAACTGTCCGACCCCACAAACAGGAAGTGACCCGTCAAGTTAGCACGCTTCGCTGCCTCAAGGACGCACCTACCAGGGAGAGAGACGAGTTGTCTGAGTCACATGATTCTGGCCTGGTTTGGACTGAATGTGATGATGTTATATTGGCTTTGTTTTTACTTTATGTCATCCTCGTTGGCAAAAATGATCACTCCTCTGGCGTTACTCGTCTCCATCAGACGTTTTATGATCTTATCAAACTCTACAGTTGTCGGCTCGCGAGGAATCTTCACCGACTGAGCGATACACACCCCACCTGACAGAAACAGGCAGGTTTAACGTGAGACAGGTTTACTACAGGACAGGTTTAGTGTAAGACAGACATGTTTGCCGTGAGACAGACAGGTTTAACTTGAGACAGAAAGCTGACTGTTAACTTTGAGACTCCGTGTTAACGGCCACTTTGACTGCAGGAACCTCGGCGTGACGTCGACAGCCGACTCTCCCTGACTCCAACATCACTGACAACACCATCCTGTAGATACTCGCTCTACAACATCAGGAGAACACGTCCTCTTCTCACTCAGAAGGAGGTACTGATTCAGGCTCTTGTCGTCTCCCTCCTGGACTACTGTAACTGTCTCCTGCAGGTCTCCTGCTACCACCATTCCACCTCTGCAGGTCATCCAGAATGCAGCAGCTCCACTGGTCTTTAACCTTCCTAAGTTCTCCCTCACTCCTCCGCTCTCTTCACTGGTACCGGTGGCTCATCCAGTTCTAAACATGGTGCTCACGTACCGTGCTGTGAATGGATGGGGTCCAGCTTACATCCAGGACCTGGTCCAACCCGACATCCCGACCTCTGACCTCTCCGCTCTGCATGTGATAAACTGCTTGTTCCTCCTCACTGAGAGCAAAACACTCGACTAGATCTCCACTCTTTGCTGTCCTGCTCCTAAATGGTGGAAGGAGGTCTCTGAAGACATCAGGACCACAGAGAGCCTTCACATCTTCAGACTAAAGACACACCTCTTCAGACTCTACCTCCACTAACACACTAACTGCAGCACTTACATTGGACTTATAATGGTTCTTATCTACAGCAAGTTGTAAACTGGCTTATTTGATGAAATTGTTCTTTTCGGTTTCTTGTTCTTCTGAGTTTGTGTCCTGAGTTTGTGAAATCAGGAAACCTTTATCGCCATAATATGTCAGACGTGGCAATAAATGTTTCCCGGTCCACTGACATTCCACCAGTCACTTTCTGTTCGCTGGTGCACTTTATTTTAAATTTTTAAATGCACTTATTGTGAGTCACTTTGGTTAAAAGCATCAGCTAAATGACATGGAATGGAATGGAATGGAATACATAGCGGTCTTATGAGTGCCCTCAGTATTAAGGTGATCTACCAGCCTCTCTGGAGATCTGCATGAAGGCCTCCACTCCGCTCTCCCCGTAGTTCCCCTCTGAGGCCAACGTGGACACGTAGTTCCACCCCAGAGCTCTGACGATGTCCAGCATGGCCTGAGCCTGGTACGAGTCCGGAGGAACCACCCGGGAGAAGAAGTCGTAGCGGTTATTATCGCTGAGCTCCGGAGCCGTTGACGCATAGCTCACCTGGGGGATCTGGGTCAATAATCAAAATCACTATAGTTGATACAGTTGCTTTTTGGCAAAATACAAAACACAAAACCTGAAACGAGCAGGTGACATTTGTTGAAGTAAATGAAATCAATAAAGTATAAAATATTATAAATTGATCATTAAATCAATACATTATACAAATGTATAATAATGTAATAAAATGTAGGATGTAGATATGCACCTCCCTATCTACTCCCCAAACCTCCACCCGCATTATTATTATTAGAATAAACTGTTCTGAGGGATCCGGAGATGCTGTAGTTAACCTTAGACCTGAGATCAGGGCCTCGTTCCTCGTATGTGGCTAACTGAGTTAGCATCATCACAAAGACGTTATGACATCACTTCCTGTACGAGCTCATCGATGCTGAAGACAAGAAATCATTTATTTACAAGACGACAACGTTACATGATGAACAGCACACATCTACTGTCTCACACACTGTCTCACACTGTCTCACATACAGTCCCACACACTGTCTCACACACTGTCTCACACTGTCTCACACTGTCTCTCACACACTGTCCCACTGTCACACACTGTCCCACACACTGTCCCACACACTGTCTCACACACTGTGTCTCTCACACTGTCTCTCACACTGTCTCACACACTGTCTCTCACACTGTCTCTCACACTGTCTCACACACTGTCTCTCACACTGTGTCTCACACTGTCTCACACACTGTGTCTCACACACTGTGTCTCACACTGTCTCTCACACTGTCTCACACACTGTCTCACACACTGTGTCTCACACTGTCTCACACACTGTCTCTCACACTGTCTCTCACACTGTCTCACACACTGTCTCACACACTGTGTCTCACACTGTGTCTCACACTGTCTCACACACTGTGTCTCACACTGTCTCACACACTGTGTCTCTCACACTGTCTCTCACACTGTCTCACACACTGTCTCTCACACTGTCTCTCACACTGTCTCACACACTGTCTCTCACACTGTGTCTCACACTGTCTCACACACTGTGTCTCACACACTGTGTCTCACACTGTCTCACACACCGTGGCGCACACACTGTCTCACACTGTCTCTCACACTGTCTCTTTTACTGTCTGTACGGTGTTGCGATGCATAGAACATCTGGAAAGCAGCTGCATGTCGTGCTCTTCGTACAGTTCCGTTGGTTTATTTGTCTCTTAATAAACTTCTGGATGTTCCAGATTTCGCTGCTTCATTTGATCAAATGTCTGATTATCACCAGTATATTTAACGATCACATGTAATACACTATTTCTGTGTGGTCGTCTTACACATATGATACAAAAAATGATTCATAGATTCCTTAGTATCTGTCTGATGCTTTGGGGTTGTTGAGATCTTTGTTCTCATTGGATGATGATCGTCATGACGCCTCCTCAAGCAAACATGTGAGTGATGGGGCATTTAAAATAAAACCAAACATTTAAACACATTTACCTTGTGTGTGATACTACGTCGGGCTTGCAGCCTCGCAGGGGGCACCGTCGGTATCCTGCCATAACGGTTCATTTAATTTAATTTGGTATACACTCTAACAAAAGGAATTGCGACGTTGTTCACATCTTTGTCACTTTGTGTGTTAAAACTACTAGATATATTACGTTATTATAGATAAAATAAAAAGGTTCCGCTGGAATAACGTAATATTTTGGAGATTACAGAGCAACAACTCCAAATTGAACCTAACGTGACCTACTCACATTCATCTCACGTGTCTGAAACAGCGCCTGCCAGAGACCACAGGGTGGTTTCTGCTGGTGGGGAGACCGGGTCGCTTTACTGGCTCCGTTCTTTGAATCTCGTTCAGTAAAACGAACAAATCTGTTTCTGGGTCGTTTGTTCATTTCAGGGGGGGATGGTGCGCTGGAACACGGTTCTGTACTTTCCTTTGTTAACGGACTGAAGGAGTCGGTCGGTTCGCTCCACACGCCTCAGGTCGCCGCGGGGCCGCGTGCACGTTGTACACCGACGGGACGGATGAAGCGAACTCACGGGGAGTAAAAGGGTTTATAGTTGATGATGAATAACCACAAATCTGTTGCACCAGCTGCTGTTGGAGTAGAAGCAGATTCCTCCACCCTTCGCCGTGCCGGAGAGCTCCGTGTCGCCAGCTGGAGCCACGTCTCCGTGAGGGACAAAACGTGGGACGTAGCAATGTCTCCGTCTCTCCTCACCAGCAGCTGAAGTTCGTCCAGTTTGTAGCGGAGGACCACGCTTGTGTCCCACTAAGGAGCCGTGAGACGGATCCATTGACAGGGTTCATAAAAGGACAACGTAGATTTGACATATTTTCTGCTGTATATTGAGGGGGGGGGTATTTTTTACTCAACATTGGGGGGTACAAAACCCCTCCAAAGAATGCGTACTTACCCCGTTGCCGAATCATTCACATCTTACTAAACGTGAGTCCATAGCGACTTTCCATTGTAAAAGCTAACTGAGGTGTATTTTTTTATTTCAAGATGGAATCATGTGGATCGTAAGGGGCTGAAGGGGCTGAAGGGCAGGAGGACTATATGTTCCAGCCAGAAGGCGTCCAGACTCCACCAGGGGGGACAGACCTGGACCTCATCTCCTCATCAAGGAAAGAAAGGACAAGCAGGGAAGACGTCAGAGGACAGACGTGTTCTCCAGGGGAAAAAGTCTGATAGCGGCCCGGTCCGATTGTCAAAGTCTAGTTTAGTTGTGCAAACGCATCGTGGGAAGCTTGATTATCTGTTGTTGGTTTTCTTCAATTGGTTTTATTAAAACTATTACTTGCATAATATCCAAGTCTGCCTGCTGTCGAGTCCTGTTACATGTTCACTTCAATGAAGAGGTGAGATGTTCCTGGTTCAGAACTCAATGTTGAATTAACATATAAATACACACACATCTACACACAAACACACAGGATTACAGGAGTGTTGTGTAAAACCTGCTGAATATGTGTCACAGCTCCAATCACATTAACACACAACGACGTGTGTGTGTGTGTGTGTGTGTGTGTGTGTGTGTGTGTGTGTGTGTGTGTGTGTGTGTGTGCAGATTAATGGAGGACGTTACATTAACGAGTTCCTAAAAGAAGACCTCGTTATGCCAGAGCAGCTTTAGTGGAGTGAATATGAACATCAGCTCTTTGTTCAAAATAACAAAAGCATTCATCATCGTGACTGAACTCTGAGGTGCCATAAACTATGGTGATGATTCCTGACTGTACCGGCTCAGGTTGAATAGTTAGGGCTGGCTTAGTAACTTAGTTAGGACCGGCTCAGGTTGAATAGTTAGGGCTGGCTCAGGTTGAATAGTTAGGACCGGCTCAGGTTGAATAGTTAGGACCGGCTCAGGTTGAATAGTTAGGACTGGCTCTGGTTGAATAGTTAGGGCTGGCTTAGGGGTGGCTCAGTAACTTAGGTAGGACTGGCTCAGGTTGAATAGTTAGGGCTGGCTTAGGGGTGGCTCAGTAACTTAGTTAGGACTGGCTCTGGTTGAATAGTTAGGGCTGGCTTAGGGGTGGCTCAGTAACTTAGGTAGGACTGGCTCAGGTTGAATAGTTAGGGCTGGCTTAGGGGTGGCTCAGTAACTTAGTTAGGACTGGCTCTGGTTGAATAGTTAGGGCTGGCTTAGGGGTGGCTCAATAACTTAGTTAGGACCGGCTCAGGTTGAATAGTTAGGGCTGGCTTAGGGGTGGCTCAGTAACTTAGTTAGGACTGGCTCTGGTTGAATAGTTAGGGCTGGCTTAGGGGTGGCTCAGTAACTTAGGTAGGACTGGCTCAGGTTGAATAGTTAGGGCTGGCTTAGGGGTGGCTCAGTAACTTAGGTAGGACTGGCTCAGGTTGAATAGTTAGGGCTGGCTTAGGGGTGGCTCAGTAACTTAGTTAGGACCGGCTCAGGTTGAATAGTTAGAGCTGGCTTAGGGGTGGCTCAATAACTTAGTTAGGACCGGCTCAGGTTGAATAGTTAGGGCTGGCTTAGGGGTGGCTCAGTAACTTAGGTAGGACTGGCTTTTTGTTTCTGTTGAAGAGGTTTTTGTAAAAAGAGGATGTAAGTTGTACAGATTGAAAAGCTGGGAGGACCCAGGCCTGCGCGTGGCCGTCCCGCCTAGAGAGACAGAGACAGACCCGCAGTCCAGAGGAACCGGCAGTAGTTCAGGTTAAAGACGGACAGAAACCCCACAGATGATCAATGAGAGCTTTCGCAACCGAACAATTAAGGTGGACGTCCTGAGCGATGTGAATGAACGAGATGACCCGATGCTGTTTACGTACGGGGACTATTTTTTCTCTAGACTACTGAAGTGAGATACACAACGTTTGGTGGCTACAACTACTTTGTGCTGAAAGGAAGCCTTTTACTCACTATTTGCCTAACAACACCCGCCAACTGTTATTGGACGGTAAAGTACGGCTTCTCGTACCTTATTGCTTTAATGTAGAATAACTGTCAACATTAACGCGTTAATCTATGCGATTAATGCAGCCGATATGAAGGCGATAAAATAATTGAAGGCAGTTCACGCAACTTCATTTACTTCCGGATTTCCGGGGGTGCCAGAAGTAAACAAAGTTGACCCCGGAAACGAAACCGCCGCTAGCTTCAGTCAGACCAGAGCGAGACGGTTGCTGAAGATGAGACGGAGCGTTTTGCATTGGAAGTAAAACAAACAGAAGACCTGTGCAGAGGAATCTCAACATCTACGCTGCAGAGGACTACCGCTGTTAAGATCTTCTAATCCTGATTAATCACCATTCATTTACTTCCTCTGACGTCATAGAGTCTGAACCACATGAATCATGTAGACCACATAAACCACGTGGACCACATGGACCACATGGACCACATAAACCACATGGACCACATGGACCATATAAACCACATGAATCATGTAGACCACATAAACCACATGGACCATATAAACCAGATGAACCGCTTGAACATTATGGAGCAGCAGCAGATACATACAACATTTAGGAACCATTGTTATCAGCATGTTATTACATCTCGTTATCCTGTACATTAACAGATGTGTATCCATGTATATCATCCTGTGTACTATTACCTCAAACAGCCTCAGGATGTTGGCCACCATGATGGACACGGAACTGGCTGAAGCCCCGATGACTCCCACCACCCTCTCTGGCCTGCGGATGAGGGGCGGCTCTCCGTTGGAGCAGCGGATGTCCGACGTGTCCTTCTGGATCAGCGCCTGGACGAAGGTGAGGGACTGCTCCAGGGCGTAGGTGTCTCTGGAGCAGGTGTCCAAGATCCGGGCCCCCAGCGTGATGTTGGGCAGCAGTTCCGGGTCGCTGTTGATCTGGTCAAGAGCATATAACATGGCCTCCATGCGGTGGATGCCCTTCTCCTTCTTCAGCTCTCCACAGGGCAGACCATGGGGGCCACGCGAGTGGATGGGGAAGAGCCCCCCCAGAGTGATGTCCCCTGGGATCTTGATGGAGTGGGGGTGAAAGTGCTGGTGGGAGGAGCTCACCTGGCCCACCTGTCCAGCAATCCACAGCCAGAGATAGAGTGTCCATCTAATGCAGAACAATATATGATGGTAATAGAATGGGGAGGAGGAAGGGGTGTGGCCTGGTGATGTCATACTGAGGTTCAGGTGAGAAGCTTCATCCTGCCGTGGACACCTGAGGAGAAATCAATACATCAATCAAGAAAAATGACGCCTGTCGACGTTAATGCGTTAAACTCTGCGACTATTGTGGCCGAGATTAATGCAATAAAATGTATTAACTCAGCTTTGTTTCCTTCCAGGGTGCGTTGACCCCTGACCCCTGACCCCCTCGTCAGTTAGACAGTAACGGTGGAACGGTGCAGAGGAATTCGTAAATGTGGGACGTGTTGGTACTTTAAACACGTTAAATGATGGCGAGTTGAGAGCAAAGTGCACGAGGACGACAGGAAGAGTCGTAGTTGTTCCACCTCCAACACCATCACATGGGTGGGGTTTGTGTCTAACATACAATTAAACACGGTCTAAAACACACGCTTCCCACAGTGATTACTCGTTCATTTAGAAGAAAAACTCACTTTTAATGACAAATAATTAAGTAATGAAGTTGTTTTTTTAAATATATAATCTTGCAGTCTTTAATTCTTTGCGACGGCATCAGAAGCGTTTTACTCTTTATTACACTCCAAAGTGTAACGATGAGGAGTAGCTGGTGGTTCGGTGCAATGACCATTTATTGCTCTTAATATATGAAGAACTTGCAAACCAAAAACAGGAGGTAAAAATAACAATTAAACTAAAGCGGTTTCTTATACGGCTCCTCACTCCACCACACGGTCAAAAGACTATTGAGGCAAAAGAAACACAACCTTTGCTTTTAATTGTTTACCTGTTTGACTTGTATTTATTTAACAAAGCGTTTCAGTAAAACTTCCTTCATCACAGTGAAATTAAATGTTTCTCATTACAGGAAATATGTGTGTGGTTTCTGAAGTGAGTTTCACATCTTCATTTTAACCAGGAAAGAAATTAGGTGCAGCCACAAGTTCAGAAAAACCCAAATTAAACCACATGTGAACGTTCACATCAAATAATGAAGAGCAGTCAGGAGTCTAAAAACAGACGATTCATTTTCAATCTAATAATTGAAACACGACCAGATGAGTAAATCAAACTGTTTATATTTAAAACGTTGAACACACCATTTACCTTCAGAAATCAATTCAACAGTCAGATTCTAATCCAGTTTGTCTGATTCCAGAGAGTTCTGCTTCCCGCCGGCCGGCTGCTGCGCTCCACCCGCTGAGACAGACGCTCCACCCGCTGAGACTCAGACGCTCCACCCGCTGAGACAGACGCTCCACCCGCTGAGACAGACGCTCCACCCGCCGACGAGCGCGTCCCGAGTCAGTGGAGGCTCGACACCTGCAGGTTGGTCCTGTCTCTCTTATGAAGACATGCACGTGTGTTGTCACCTGTCCGCTGGTCATCAGTCTACATCCACCTGACAGCGACCTCTGCTGGTTGACGTGAGTCATAAGACGGATGTCACTTTATTGTTTGAGGCAAACAGCAGCGCTTCATGCAATAAAATACATCTCACACACACACACACACACACACACACACACACACACACCGCGCACACACGCACACACACACACACACACACACACACACACACACACACACACACACACACACACACCGCGCACACACGCACACACACACACACACACACACACACACAGGACTAAAGTGTGGATTAGCGTTGGAGAGGCTCCGCCCCCTGCTGGTGGGGGAAGCAGCCAATCTGTTGTCTCTGTCAAACTGATTGTTTGGAGTTGAAAATCTTGGCCAGCAGGGAGACATTCGATTGGCTCTTTTGCTCAATAAGGCGGGCCTTGTCCATGTGCTTCTGGGTAAACGAGTCTTTCTTCTTCTTCTTCTTCGTCTGGATCTCTTCCTCCGTCTGACGCTGGGTGAAGTCCCACGTCTTCTCCTCCACCTGAGGACAGATGAAGATGTTAACAAACCAGATTGTGTAGTGGGTCTCCATGGCAATAGGAGGTCATGTGACTCAGGTCTGCATCAGGTTTTGAAGACCAAGAGGAAGTTGACCTGCTCTCCGTCTCTCTGTCTCTTCCTCCTCACGAGGTCCAGGTGAGCGCTCTTGTCCACGTTGCTCAGGTAGAAGTTGGTTTCTCTCTTGGCCTGAGACACTTCGGTCCGGAGTCTCTGCTGGAGGACCGTGTGCTCGTAGGCCAGCCGCTCGCTCAGGTGAGTCCACTGGAACCGGTGCAGGTACTGTGGAGACAGACGGGTAAGAAGAGCAGCACCACACCGTCAATGAAGGAGTCTTCATCATGTGACATCACGGGGTCAGCGGCGGCGTGGCGGACCTTGATGGCCCAGAGGTCGGAGTAGAACCGTTGGCGCTTCCTGGTTCCCATCGGAGAGTTGTGGAGAGAAGCAGCAACTTTCTTTGCCACTCGTTTATCTCTGAACTCAACCCATCCTTCAGTGAAGTCACACCTCCTCAAGCCGGACTTCCTCTTCCTCCTCCTCACCTGGCTGTCTGAGGGACCAATAACTCATCAAAAACATCATCTTTCATATTTACCTGTACGACAGTTACATCATATAATAATGTATTTAACGTACCTTCAGGCTGGAGGAAGATGCGTCCAATCTCTCCGTACACTGACAGCAGGTTCCTCAGGTGTTTGGGGCGGAACCTCGGAGGAATGTGACCCAGGTAAATGACACCTGGAACACACTTTCTGTCTGGAAGGGAAGTCAACCCAACAGCTCTCCGTTTGATGGTCTTCTTCAGCTCCACGTTGTCGTCATCACCTCCTTCTTCTTCTTCTTCGTCTCCTTTCATTGTAGCAGCTTCTTCTTCCTCCTCATTATCTCCTCCTCCTACTCTTGTTGTAGCAGCTTCTTCTCCCCCTCCTCTCCTAGCCGTAGACGGTCTCTCTTCTTCTTCTCCTTCTCCTCTCTGAGATGTAGTCTCCTCCTCCTCCTCCTCCTCCTCCCGTGTTCTTTCCATGAGACTGCAGATCGATTTCTAACAACAGAAACAGATCGAGGTTTGAAGTCTACTTGTCTCCTTTCTTTAACTCAGGGGTCTTCAACGTTTTTCAGGCCAAGGTCCCCCAAACTGATGGCGAGATGGAGCAGGGACCCCCTACTATATTAATTGCATACAATTGTGTTTATATTATGCCATGTATAAACATAGCTATCCTGTTATTTTGCATTCAACACTAAGCTATTCAAATAATACACAGGAGCTAGCAGTCAGGGGCCAGGGGCTAGCAGTCAGGGGCCAGGGGCTAGCAGTCAGGGGCCAGGGGCTAGCAGTCAGGGGCCAGGAGCTAGCAGTCAGGGGCCAGGAGCTAGCAGTCGGGGGCCAGGAGCTAGCAGTCGGGGGCCAGGAGCTAGCAGTCGGGGGCCAGGAGCTAGCAGTCGGGGGCTAGGAGCTAGCAGTCAGGGGCTAGGAGCTAGCAGTCAGGGGCTAGCAGTCAGGGGCTAGCAGCCAGGGGCTAGCAGTCAGGGGCTAGCAGTCAGGGGCTAGCAGTCAGGGGCTAGGGGCTAGCAGTCAGGGGCTAGGGGCTAGCAGTCAGGGGCTAGGGGCTAGCAGTCAGGGGCTAGGGGCTAGCAGTCAGGGGCTAGGAGCTAGCAGTCAGGGGCTAGGAGCTAGCAGTCAGGGGCTAGCAGTCAGGGGCTAGCAGTCAGGGGCTAGCAGCCAGGGGCTAGCAGTCAGGGGCTAGCAGTCAGGGGCTAGCAGTCAGGGGCTAGGGGCTAGCAGTCAGGGGCTAGGGGCTAGCAGTCAGGGGCTAGGGGCTAGCAGTCAGGGGCTAGGGGCTAGCAGTCAGGGGCTAGGGGCTAGCAGTCAGGGGCTAGGGGCTAGCAGTCAGGGGCTAGGAGCTAGCAGTCAGGGGCTAGGGGCTAGCAGTCAGGGGCTAGGAGCTAGCAGTCAGGGGCTAGGACCAGTGCAGGTAGGAGTAGCTTCCTTACATTCGGCTCTTCGGGACGAAGTGAACCAGCGTTCACACAACATGAACACGAGATCCGAGGACACATGGACATTGGGTCCAACCCCCCTCCCAGGATCGACTCCTCCGAGACATAATTATAATATAATATATAATAAGTAACTATGTGTCAATTATAAAATCATGTTAACATCAACAACACGGCTATTATTAATTATATCGATCTGTTACTATGGTCACAGTTTACACAACGTTCACCGACGATGAATAAATAAACTCCTTTAAACCACATTAAAGTGTTTGATACCTTACATAAAGAAATCCCACCTTTAGTTGTAAATCTTCATCAACTTCTCGTTCTCACGTGGGCAGCCTCTGTCGCGCATTGATGACGCTCACCGCGTCATGTAAGGCGCGATGGGACCGGACGGCAGCTGCAGAGGGACAATAAGCGCGCGTGAGTTTTCACCAACCAAACTTTAAAGTCAGGTGATGCGTTCAAACGTCCTTTTTCTCCTCATTCTACACAATCAATAATCAATTAATAATAATCAAACATATCTTTTGTTTGTATCCAGGATACCAAAATGCTGATGTGACGTGGATACATGTCATGGCGGGATGATTTGAAGTGGAAGCTAACGTTAGCAGGACGATGCAGAGGTCTGTGTCCAGTTTGTCTCTGAGTCCCAGTGTAAAGGTGAAACTGGTTAACGCTGGTTTCCAGTTCACCGCCGACCTGCTACACGTGAAGCCACTTCAACTCAGTAAAGGTAAAGCTGCTACACCCATTGGATATGTCACCGAGTTAACTCCCGTGTTCACCACACACACGTGACGCAGAGGTCAGCTGACCGTCGTCTAGCGTTCACAGCATCGTTCATATTAATTACACTCTGCTGCTGTGCCAACAAGCACCGTCTCAGTTCTCATCTAACGTTGTATGTTTTGTGCATTAAACACAGCTCACTGATTCATTCTCAGCAGGACGTTAAGTCCTTAAGTGAAGACCAACAGTAGAAACATGTACAGCCCAACATCGCAAATCACAAATTTGCCTCAGAGGGCTTTACAGTCTGTACGCATGCGGCATCCTCTGTCAGCAAACCCACACATTGGCACCACCCACCACCATCAGATATAAACACCATCCACAGAAACCTGTTGGGAGGGAAAAAGCACAAAGACTTCAGGAAAGAAGCAAAGTCTGTTTTATGATCACAAAAGTATAGTCCGTACAATAGTAATGTGATTCATGTTTCTAATAATAATGATAGAGGAGCAGCTGCTCTACTGCACAGACGTGATGGTCCATGGTGGGTTGCAGAGACCAGTTTGTCCCAGCTGGAGGCGCTGGAAGTGCTGCAGGCTGTGAGGGGAGAGACGGGAGGAGGTGACAATGGAGCAGGAGGAGGAGGAGGAGGAGGAGGAGCCTCATCCTCTCTGACGGCTCTGGAGCTCCTGCAGAAGGAGGAAGAGTTGAGGAGCATCGTGACGTTTTCCTCTCAGCTGGATGCTGCTCTCGGAGGAGGACTTCCTGTCGGGAAAACCACAGAAATCTGTGGAGCTCCTGGGGTCGGGAAAACACAGCTTTGGTGAGACGCTCGCACACTGTGACACGCCGTGACATGTTGTATCATGCCGTGACACGCCGTGACATGTTGTATCATGCCGTGACACGCCGTATCATGCCGTGACACGCCGTATCATGCCGTGACACGCCGTGACATGTTGTATCATGCCGTGACACGCCGTGACAGCTGTGGGATCTACAAGCATACGGGTAGAGTTGTTTTACTCTGTCCAGCTGACCGTTGATACCATTGTTGGTTACATGCTCCTTCCAGCCTGCAGCTAGCAGTGGATGTTCAGGTGCCTCAGTGTTTTGGGGGCGTCGGAGGTCAGGTGGTCTACATTGACACGGAGGGCAGCTTCTTGCTTCAGAGAGTTGTCGATATTGCCACCGCCGCGGTCCAACACTGCTCCTTACTGGTTGAAGACGACGAGCAACAAGTTGCCATGGCAACCTTCACTGTGGAAACCATCCTGTCCAACACCTTCCTGGTAATGATGGCAGGTCGTCATGGCAAATGACTTTTGTTGTTTTGATTGGCAGTTCAACTGATTTCAGACCATTGGACGCAGTTTTTTTGCCAACGCTAGTAATTATTGATCATTGATGATCCATATGAACGGATACAGACCCTCTTCATAGACACAAACAGGAAATCGATTTTATTTTTATGGATTCAAGCGATTCGTTGCTTTGATTGCTGTATGATGAGGTGCTTAGAGGTTGTGTTGGGAAGTTAAATGGATCATAATTCATCTCTAGTTATCTATATTTCTTTCCATGTGAAAACATTTCATCACCAAAACTTCAATAATGACGCCGATGGCATCGCACATCGGCCGGTTGTAGTGATTCTTATTGTCTGTCTGTTGAATCACTCGCAGGTGCGTTGCCACGACTACGTGGAGCTGCTGGCAGAGCTCCACCTGCTGCCTGACTTCCTATCCAACCACCCAAAGGTCCGCCTCCTTGTGATTGACAGCGTGGCGTTTCCATTCCGGCAGCACTTTGACGATCTCTCTCAGAGGACACGCCTACTCAACGGCCTCGCCCAGCAACTCATTTCCATGGCAACCAGCCACAAGATTGCCGTGCTGATGACCAACCAGATGACCACCCGGCTGCGGGGCGGCCAGTCGCAGCAGGTCCCGGCCCTTGGAGAGAGCTGGGGCCACGCCGCCACCATCAGGCTCCTCCTGCACTGGGCGGGGCCTCAGCGGCTAGCTAACGTCTTTAAATCCCCGAATCACATGGGGGCTACGGTCCGATACCAGATAACCTCCGAGGGGTTCAGAGACGTCGACCAATCGGAGCAGCCGCCAAGCAAGCGAGCCCGAAAACACACCGTCCAAATGGCAGCGGCCAGGGAGCCGTCAGAAACATGAGGTCCGGTAGGACCAGTCCGTCTCCGACCATCTGTGCCGTTTGTCCTCCTACCTAGAACGCCGAGAACAGACTTGTGTCCTCTGGAGAATGGACACCCGGAGCCGGGCGGATGGAGGACAGGCGTTCTGCACCTTCTTTGGTCTTTAAATGGATTTAATTATTTTACCATCAAACCAAAAGACGACCCTGCTTTGGATTTGATTTCATAGAAAAAGAAATGATACAGCAAACTTTTCAACGGAATTGACTGTTTTGACATCATAACATCCTCCACGTGAACGCTGTGGATGTGAAGAGGTCTTTTCTTGAGATTACAGTGGAAACGGGTGATTTTGTGATCTTCACAATAAAACCTGTTGATGTGACGAGTAGAACAGCGTTGATCTCTACGTTTCCCTCCAATTTATAAGTGAAGTTACCGCCGATGCTGGATTATTATTAATTTATTACCACGATGACGTGTTTGTGCTTTACGGCTGTCAACGAATATTCTATATGCCAATATATGTTCTTGTAGCGCAGTTTCAAAAAGAAAGTTTATATCATAAATCATGTTGAAAACGGGGCTAAACGTGAACGTCTTGTCAACATACAAATAGACGTTGAAAAATCGTTCACTTTTAAACCATTTTGCAAACCTCTTTACAACGTCGGGACGTCTTTTAAACGGACAAATTACTCACACAAGTTACATACTTAGTCACAGTTGTCACGTTAACAGCCCTTAACAAGGACAAACACATTATTTTATAAATTTGTATTTATTCTAAATATACATATAACAACACCTTTCCTAATTAAAAACATTACAAAAATAAAATATATTTCAGGGAAATAAACTATGGAATTAAAAGTGCAGAAACAACATGGACAAGTTAGTTTAGAATTCTGTGTTTGTAGTTAATTTACAGATTCTGTAACCAGATGTGGCTCAGTCACTTGAGTTGGGATAATATATATTGGGGTCGTCGTGGCGCAGGGGTTAGAGAAGGTGTGCTGGGAAGCACAAGGTTGTTGGTTCGATTCCAGGCTGCCCCATGTTCCACGTCGAAGTGTCCCTGAGCAAGACACCTAACCCCTAATTGCACCCCGGGCAAAAATGTGAAAAAGCCATGGGTTTAAAAGTGTAATGTAAGTCGCTTTGGATAAAAGCGTCTGCTAAATGACCTGTAATGTAATGTAATGTAATGTAATATATATATAATATATATATATATATATAATATACCTGAAATCAGCTGCATCTCCCTCATCCTCACGCGATGATTCCGTGTGAAGGGGGTCAGAGAGCACAGAGCAGAGTCCTCTGGTCAACGTCTTTATTCAATTAAAATCATTTTAGTTTGTTCTGCTTTACAATCTGTAAACATGCATCATGTCCCAAAACCCCCAAGATGTAAATGGACTGTACTTGTATAGCGCTTTTCTAGTCTTCTGACCACTCAAAGCGCTTTAACACTACATGACATCATTCACCCATTGACACCCTGATGACAGGAGAACCACACACAGTGACACCTGCACATTAGTCACTAACATTCACACACTGTAGTCACAGCTACAGGAGCCATCTTGGTTAAGGCCCAAGGACACATCGACATGCGGGTTAGCAGAGCCTGGGATCGAACCCACAACCCTCTGATTGGAGGAGCGACCTGCTCCACACTCACCCACAGTCGCCCGATGTAAAAAACCTTCAACTGGGAGAAACCTGAGGAGCAAACAGCAGAGAAGTGTGAGACAGTGTGTGAGACACTGTGTGAGACACTGTGTGTGAGACAGTGTGTGAGACACTGTGTGTGAGACAGTGTGTGAGACACTGTGTGTGAGACAGTGTGTGAGACACTGTGTGTGAGACACTGTGTGAGACACTGTGTGTGAGACACTGTGTGAGACACTGTGTGTGAGACAGTGGAAACGTCCATCTAACTGATGTCGCTCGTCCATCAACGAGGACGTGAGCTTTTATTCCCTCAGTCAGTCAGTCAGTGAGTGAGTCAGTCAGGAGTGGTCGTTCGTCATGAGTCATTAGTCATCAGTCAGTAGTCATTCGTCAGCAGTAATCAGTCAGTTATTCATCAGGCAATGAGGAGTCAGTCAGCCGTCAGTCAGTCAGTCAGTCAGTCAGTGAGTCAGTCAGTGAGTCAGTCAGTCAGTGAGTCAGGGAGTGAGTCAGTCAGTCAGTCAGTCAGTGAGTGAGTCAGTCAGTCAGTGAGTCAGTCAGTGAGTCAGTCAGTCAGTGAGTCAGTCAGTGAGTGAGTCAGTCAGTGAGTGAGTCAGTCAGTGAGTGAGTGAGTCAGTGAGTCAGTCAGTCAGTCAGTGAGTGAGTGAGTCAGTCAGTCAGTCAGTCAGTCAGTCAGTCAGTCAGTCAGTCAGTGAGTCAGTCAGTCAGTCAGTCAGTCAGTCAGTGAGTCAGTCAGTGAGTGAGTCAGTCAGTCAGTCAGTCAGTGAGTCAGTCAGTGAGTGAGTCAGTCAGTCAGTCAGTCAGTCAGTGAGTGAGTGAGTGAGTCAGTGAGTCAGTCAGTCAGTGAGTCAGTCAGTCAGTCAGTCAGTGAGTCAGTCAGTCAGTCAGTCAGTGAGTCAGTCAGTCAGTCAGTGAGTCAGTCAGTGAGTCAGTCAGTCAGTGAGTCAGTCAGTGAGTCAGTTGTTCTTCATTCAGCTTTCATTCATTCTCACTAAACAATTGTTGATAACACCTTGTTGTCTTGTTTGTTGGATCTCTGATCACTCAATGAATCACCGCATTCTGTGGTTGTTTCATGTTCTCATTCTTATGGTAATTGATGATTAATTAACTCCTTTTATTTATTCATTCATTCATCCCAAAATATTAGATTAGCGTGTAGGAATCATACTGAAACAAGACCATGTATTTCTATATTCCCTCTGGTATTCATCCCTCTCACCACCAGCCGGGGTGCCACGTGTGTGTGTGTGTGTGTGTGTGTGTGCGTGTGTGTGTGTGCTTCTGTGCGTCTGTGTGAGAGCTGCTGTCAGTTGGAAGGAACCTCCACCTCTCGCTCCACCAGGCAAACACCACCCAGTCCTCAGGCCTCCTCCCTGCTCCACCGGAGCTGCTGGATGGATGATGGAGGAGCTCCTTCACTGATACATGTACTAATACACTAAATGTATATTTACACTTCGTAAAGTGATTTTCATAAGATGCTGAAGAAAAGAACATCTGTGTCGCCCGCATTGCATGATGGGATACGCTGGGCCTCATAGGGTAGATGTGTCCACAGGCTGCTGTCTCTCTCGTCCTCTGTCTCACCACGTTTCTGTTGTGTCTCCCGATTCGTTTACTTGTTTTTGATCTCTGTCTCTCTGTAAACACTGATAAAGTGTTGGAAATCTCACCCGTTTAACGTTCCTTTACCTCCGCGGAGCTGTTGACCCGCTATGAGATGTTGTAAACGACGTATTGTCACCGGTCACCTGGGTCATTACCGCGCGCTCACTACGTGCTGTGACGTCACTGATGTGCGCGGTTTCCCCGTCATACGCTTCAGAGGGGCGGGGCTGAACGAAGCAGCAACATGACTGCGGACTACTGGGAGCCCTACAGTCCTGAGACCCCGTCCGACTGAACCGAGCCAGAGACACCCCTAACGGACCGGACGGACCGGGACCAGGACCCCCCCCCGCCAGTGAGTAATGCACACCGCCGAGCTTGGCGTGTTACCGGGAATCCGTCCTACGGTGACCCCGCCGGCCTGACGCCGCTCCGGTGCTGTTCTACCACAGTGATCCTCCAGCAGGACATAGACGGGCCCCGTCCGCTTCTTGACACAGCAGAAAGTAGACGGGGCCACTGTGTTCAAGCAGTCATCACTCAGCTGACTAAATCACTGAAGACTAACACTGTGTGTGTGTGTGTGTGTGTGTGTGTGTGTGTGTGTGTGTGAGAGATATAAATACGCATATTTAGTTAGGTAGTTCATTTGAAAAAATAACTAATCTTGCAATTTGAATCAATTATTCACGATTACTATTGGCAAATAAATAATAATGGAGTCTTACATTTCACTTTAAACACAAACCCCACCCATGTGATGGTGTTGGAGGTGGAACATGTGGAACATGTTGAAGTATCGACTCACTCTCCATCATCTGAAGTCCCAACATGTCCCACATTTAACCAGGACGTTTTGAACCACTGTCTTTTAGGGACTCAGTGCTCCTCTGCAGGTAGATGAGATGGAAGTAGCCTAGCAGCTAGCTTAGCACGGCCGTTTGCACTCGTCCCCCTTGTGTTTGACGCGTGGACGAGTTCCTCTGCACAGTTCTTCTGTTTGTTTTACATCTAGTGCTGCAACTAACGGTTATTTTCGTAATCGATCGATCTATTGCCTTTTTTCGATTAATCGACTAATCATTGAGCATAGTGAGGTAGAGCTGCATCGATTAGTCCACGTAATCAACAACGTAGATTATGAAAAAACGCCGACACGTCGTATATTATAAGAAGGTTCAGAGCTACGGGTCCTTTTCATTCGGCGGTGCAATGTTCTACAGGAAGCGCTGCACGAGCCTCTGAAGGACAAACCTGTGCACGCTGCTTAATACTAAACGGACAAATCACAGAGCTTTAATCACCACATGGTAGGCTTTAGTATCATAGTTTTATTATAGTAGATCTCTCGTAATTGTGTTGATATGAACACAATCTTTTGTTTGAAGAACGCCGGGGCTCCAGGATGCTTGTATTTTAAATGTTCCTGCGTTGCCGTGGTGATGCTGTGGAATATCAACTCATTCTCCGACCCAGGACCTGACCGTTAACGTTAGCGCCCACTTTGACTGCAGGAACCTCGGCGTCACACTCGACATCCAATTTGTAACCAATTAGATGTACGTGGTGACTGGCTCCGCCCCTTACTGTCAAAAAGAACAACAGCGAGCGCGAGCACAGATTAGCCTCGCGAGCAAGGAAGTTCACGTTCTGCGAGCCAGCAAATATCTTGTGCGAGACAGAATTTTGCTCACGGATGTTTTTATTTACGCGCGAGCATCAACCTGATTTGCTCTCTGGAATTTTGACAGTGATTTGCTGCCATAGACTGGTCTTTAACCTTCCTAAGTTCTCCCTCACTCCTCCGCTCCTGGTGCTCACGTACCAAGCTGTGAATGGATGGGGTCCAGCTTACATCCAGGACCTGGTCCAACCCGACATCCCGACCCGCACTCTCCGCTCTGCATGTGATAAACTGCTTGTTCCTCCTCACTGAGAGCAAAACACTCGACTAGATCTCCACTCTTTGCTGTCCTGCTCCTAAATGGTGGAAGGAGGTCTCTGAAGACATCAGGACCACAGAGAGCCTTCACATCTTCAGACTAAAGACACACCTCTTCAGACTCTACCTCCACTAACACACTAACTAACTGCAGCACTTACATTGGACTTATAATGGTTCTTATCTACAGCAAGTTGTACATCGGCTTATTTGATGAAATCACACTTTCTTGTTTCTTGTTCTTCTGAGTTTGTGTCCTTATGGTTGAAATGTTCTTATTGTGAGTCGCTTTGGATAAAAGCGTCAGATAAATGACATGTGATGTGATTCCATCACATGTCATGTACAATGTGCTGCATTGTACAGTTTGGTTTGCTGATGAAATATTCTCAGACTTTCTAGGTCTTGCTTTTTCTCGGCTCTCCCACGTTCAACTAGATAAACATTTTATTTTCCTTGGGTCATGTAGACAATAGAAGCGATAGCGCCTCCGGCACTTCCTGTAGTCTATTGCCTATGCCACATGAAAAAGACCCGTAGCTCTGAATCTTTTTATAATATACGACGCAGTGACAATAAAGAACCTGCATAGAGCGCATAGAACACATAGAACCTTTTATATAGAACGTTTATAGAGAACATAGAACACAGAGCACTAGCTGCTCAGCCCTCTCAAAGAGAATCCGTCTCATCGGTTCCAGAGAAGAAGAAGAAAAGAAGAGGTTCTGGTTCTCTACTAGTGGAACTTGTATTCAAAGCTGTTGTGTTCTGTAGCTCTGTAGATGATTTGATTGATCAGGTGAACCCGTGTTAACCTGCCCTGGTGTGGTCTACAGGCTGGCTGCCCCGCCCCCCTCAGCACCCCGCCCCCCTCGCCCTCCCCTCATGGAGAGGATGAGAAAGATCAAGCGGCAGTTGTCATTCACCCTGGGGAGGGGAGGGGCCGTGGGAAGGGACACCATCAACCAGGAAGTGACATCACACAGTGATTCAGGTAACACACACGTTATGTGTCACAGCACAACGAGGTCACTCGTTACTTCGTCACTACGGCGACGTCTGAGCGTCCCAGGGCCTCATTGTGCCTGAGCTGAGCGATGCATCATATGAGGACTAGAAGGAAAACAGCGATGAAATCACTCTGTGTGACATTGAGCTTTAATTATTCGCCTGATCTGTTTCATGGAAAGTTAAGTTTAAAGTTCTGTTACGACAGCTTCATGTATTTTGTTTTATTTTTGTCTCCATTAACTCAACCAATCATTCCTACTCTTCATCTCCTCTCCTCTTTATCAGAGGTGTCGTCTCTTCACTCTTCTTCTGGAGGTTTAAAGGTCCGAGGTTCGTCTTCATCAGTTCAGTCTCTTCTTCAGTCGTACAGCAGCTCGCTGAGAAAACCTGGAGGCCTGGGACGCAGTCTGAGCTCCTACCTGAACCACACGGCCCGACTGGGTACTAATACACCAAGTACATGTCCATATCCATCCTGAACCACATGGCCCGACTGGGTACTAGTACACCAAGTACATGTCCAAATCCTACCTGAACCGCACGGCCCGACTGGGTACTAATACACCAAGTACATGTCCAAATCTTACCTGAACCACACGGCCCGATTGGGTACTAATGCACCAAGTACATGTCCAAATCCTGCCTGAACCGCACGGCCCGACTGGGTACCAATACACCAAGTACATGTCCAAATCCTACCCGAACCGCACGGCCCGACTGGGTACTAATACACCAAGTAGATGTCCAAATCCTACCCGAACCGCACGGCCCGACTGGGTACTAATACACCAAGTAGATGTCCAAACCCTACCTGAACCGCACGGCCCGACTGGGTACCAATACACCAAGTACATGTCCAAATCCTACCCGAACCGCACGGCCCGACTGGGTACTAATACACCAAGTAGATGTCCAAATCCTACCCGAACCGCACGGCCCGACTGGGTACTAATACACCAAGTAGATGTCCAAATCCTACCCGAACCGCACGGCCCGACTGGGTACTAATACACCAAGTACATGTCCAAATCCTGAACCGCACGCCCCGACTGGGTACCAATACACCAAGTACATGTCCAAATCCTACCCGAACCGCACGGCCCGACTGGGTACCAATACACCAAGTACATGTCCAAATCCTACCCGAACCGCACGGCCCGACTGGGTACCAATACACCAAGTACATGTCTAAATCCTACCCGAACCGCACGGCCCGACTGGGTACCAATACACCAAGTACATGTCCAAATTCTACCCGAACCGCACGGCCCGACTGGGTACCAATACACCAAGTACATGTCCAAATTCTACCCGAACTGCACGGCCCGACTGGGTACTAATACACCAAGTAGATGTCCAAACACTGTGTTGATGTTCTCTCTCTGTTTGTCAGAGATCGTCCATGAGGATGTGAAGATGTGTTCAGAAGGAGAAAGTGATCCGTCCTCTTCTTCGGTTCTCGTTCAGAGTCCAGTTAGAGTGAGACTGAGGAACAAGAAGATATCAACCGAGGTAACACGCTTGTACACGCAGCTGTACACCCGCCTTTCGTTTGGCCTTAAGTCCTGAACTCTCTTGACTCGTTGGACCCTTTAGACTTTGACCCCCCCTTTTCTTTAGACTGTCTCTGCACTCGCTTCTTCGGACTGTCTTCAGACTCTCTGAACCCTTTGGACTTTGTGGTTCCCGTTGGTGTCCCTGACTCATTAATGTTTTGCTTTTCTTGTTACTCAGGACATTAACAAACGTCTCTCATTACCGGCGGACATTCGTCTTCCAGACGATTATTTGGACAAGTTTAATCTGATTGGTCCCGCTCTGTTTGAGCAGCCAATCAGTAGACGTCTGCGTCGAGTGTCTCTGGTACGCCTACCTGCTTTACTCCCTCTGATTCGATTGTGTCCTAGTATTAAGAGTAACCTTCGGTCTCGTTGTCTCTGCAGTCAGAGATTGGTTTTGGGAAACTGGAGACGTACGTCAAACTGGACAAACTAGGAGAGGTGGGGACTCACCATTACATTCTTGTGTTTGTGTGAGTGGACTAACCTGTCTCCACCTGTCTTTCCCCCCTGTCTGTCTTCTCCATGTCTCTTACCTGTCTTTCCCAACAAATCTGCGTGTCCAGCGTTACATGTCTCTCAACCCGTCCCTTTCCACGTGTCCTTTCATCACGTGTCTTACCTTTAGCCCTGTCGCAATATGCGATAAAATCGCACACAATCATTGTTGGTGCTGTGATATTCACTTCACGTCTAAATGAGCGTCACCAACATTTAAGTTGATCCTCTGTCCTCCTTGTGGAAAGGGGGCGGGGCTTATGCAGCACGCACACAGAGCGACACCGACAGCTGAAGAGAAGCAGTGAACCCAACTAAGCTAAGCTAACTAAGCTAACATCTCACCCAAAACAACAACCGTCCGCCCGTCTTTAACCTGAACTACTGTCGGTTCCTCCGGACGGCTCCTTCTCCTCTTTGGTCCCCAGACCGCCGTCCTGCGTTAAAGTGGCGTCAGTGGCATAAAATGGTGAAAATTGCAATAAATGTTGGTGCAATAATCGCACAACAAAGATTTGATATTGTGACAGCCCGACTCACCGGCCTTTCTCCCTGTCCTCCACATGTCCTCTCACCGGTTCTACCGTCTCTCTGCAGGGAACCTACGCCACCGTGTACAAAGGTCGCAGTAAACTGACGGAGAACCTCGTGGCCTTGAAGGAGATTCGACTGGAACACGAGGAAGGAGCTCCGTGTACTGCTATCAGAGAAGGTAGTACTTGTGTGTACTACAGGACTACAATACACATACTACCATTACGTTGTATACAGGATGATTCCTTTAGTATCAGTGGTAGTACTTTACTACACAGCAAGTTGTATTATTGTACCCAGATCATTTCAATATATTGCAATATGTATTGTATCGCATGCCAACATATGGTGAGTGTGTTACGCTACGTATGATGAGGTGTCAATACCAGTATTAACACGTGTGTCCCCCTCAGTGTCTCTGTTGAAGGATCTAAAACACGCCAACATCGTCACGCTTCATGACATCATCCACACACAAAAGTCCCTCACACTGGTGTTTGAGTACCTGGTGAGACGCGCGCACACACACACACTCTCGCACATGTTTTTACTTGGTGATTTGAGTCTTTAATGGTGTCTCCTGTGTCTCAGGACAAAGACTTGAAGCAGTATCTGGACGACTGTTCAAACATCATCAACGTTCACAACGTGAAAGTGAGAAAACTCTTTAAGGGCCCTTCGTACTACTCATATGTAACCCTTTAACCTTTAACCCCTAACCCTCCAGTAGCAACTGATCTCCAGTCTGCTTCCGTCTCCTCAGCTCTTCCTCTTCCAGTTGTTACGAGGTTTGTCATACTGTCATCGGAGGAAAGTTCTCCACAGAGACCTGAAGCCTCAGAACCTGCTGATCAACGAGCGAGGAGAACTCAAACTGGCCGATTTCGGTGAGTTCACTGCTATTTAATATTAATGATGATGATATTAGTCAAGATTGAGACAGTGTGAACTATTATAAGCAAACCGTTAACTGAACTACACACTCTGCCTAAGAGACACACTCTACACACACACTGTGCCTAAGAGACACACTCTACACACACACTGTGCCTACGAGACACACTCTACACACACACTGTGCCTAAGAGACACACTCTACACACACACTGTGCGTAGGAGACACACTCTACACACACACTGTGCCGTATAGACACACTCTACACACACACTGTGCCGTAAGAGACACACTACTCACACACACTGTGCCGTAAGAGACACACTATACACACCCACGTGGCGTAAGAGACACATCCTACCACACGCGCTGTGCATGAGACGAAGCACTACTACGCACACGCTGTGCATAGAAACACCATACAAACGTCTGTTGCGTATAGACGCAGTGTACACACACACTCTGTGCCTACGAGACGCACTCTACACACACACTCTGTGCCTACGAGACGCACTACACACACACTGTGCCTAAGAGACACACTACACACACACTGTGCCTACGAGACACACTATACACACACACTCTGCCTACGAGACGCACTATACACACACACTCTGCCTAAGAGACACACTCTACACACACACTCTGCCTACGAGACGCACTCTACACACACACTCTGTGCCTACGAGACGCACTACACACACACTGTGCCTAAGAGACACACTACATACACACTGTGCCTACGAGACACACTCTACACACACACTGTGCCTACGAGACGCACTCTACACACACACTGTGCCTACGAGACGCACTATACACACACACTGTGCCTACGAGACGCACCTGTGTGTGTTTTAGGTCTTGCGCGAGCCAAATCCATCCCCACAAAGACGTACTCTAATGAGGTGGTGACGCTGTGGTACCGCCCCCCTGACATCCTGCTGGGCAGCACTAATTACTCCACTCACATCGACATGTGGTCAGTGTTCTTCTGCTTCTTTGTCTCTTTGTCCTGGTCCCCAGTGGCTTTAGCGCCTGAAGTTCCCTCTTTGTGTCGTCAGTCACTAACAACACGCAACTAACGTACTTTCCATTCTGTAGCGAGTGGTTAACTAGTCTTTGCTGGAGCAATGTTATGTACTCATAACAGCAGTAACCCTTCCTACATGCAGTCTAGACTAGAAAGACCGGACCTGTGGAAGAGGTCTACGAGGTCATCAGTGGGGGTTTCAATGCTGTTCAGGAACCCCGAGAAGACCAAGGCAGTAGCCGAGCCGCTTAATGCCCTTAAAAGGAAAAGTGGAGCCCAGAATGTCAAAATGCTGTTGGAAATCTGACGTTTGGTGACAACGGAAACGGCCATCCGAACAGGAAGTGCTGATAATGAGGATTTTTTGGGGTTCATGGATTAAACTGTAAGGAAAAGACCTTCTATGGCGTCAAATTTACAAGGTGTGGCGATCTGTTGTCCCTGTGTGCACAACACACACTGCTGCCACGTCACAGACACACACACACAACCAATCTGCTCGCTTCACCTCTGGGTGACAAAAGCAGAAATGCAGGGGACGCCAAAAGATCAAAAGAGTGCAGTGGACTAAAAGGACAGATTGACTCACAAAACCTCACAAATCTGTAACTGGCACCCGAAGCCACCAATCGTGGCATTACAACGTGATTATAAGAATCAGTAATTCAAGGTTTCTGCTGAGGATGTTGTCCAATACGTCTTGATAATTGAATGGACCGTAATTTCTTGAATAAGCTGCATGTAAAATGTGAAAGTAGAGGGTGATAGTGTGTGTGTGTGTCTGCCTCTCTCTAGGGGCGTTGGTTGTATCTTCTATGAGATGACGACAGGGCGACCTCTGTTTCCTGGTTCCACTGTGGAGGAGGAGCTTCACTTCATCTTCAAGCTCCTGGGTGAGGAGCCTTCAGCTTCTGTTATTACTCTGGGATTTAGTCTGATTTGGCTGCAGGTTTATGACTTCAGGGGGGTAGTAGCCGGGCAATATTTGGGCTGAACGCGGGGGGGGCAGGCAGTCCTCTGGTGCGAGCGCCACACGAACATATTCGCACACGTATCACCGTGCGTGGGGACGATTAAAACCATTTTTTTAAAACAAGTCAATCCCACATTTCTTAGGGGGGGAGAGTTATTTCAGGGTGGGGGGCCGTCCCCCTGTTATAATGGTAGGGGAAACACTGAGTTGTGTATCTTTTGTGTCGATCTTGTGTGCAGGTACTCCCACAGAGAACAGCTGGTCTGGGATCAGCTCCAATGAGCAATTTGTGGGGCACAACTACCCTCTTTACCGAGCAGAGCGACTGAGTACCCACACTCCCAGGTACGCACCTGTACTACACGTGGGTACGCACCTGTACTGCACGTGGGTACGCACCTGTACTGCACGTGGGTACGCACCTGTACCGCACGTGGGTACGCACCTGTACCGCACGTGGGTACGCACCTGTACCGCACCCTTTGCGTTGTTGACTGTGTGTGTGTCTGTGTGTGTCTGTGTGCGTGTGTGTGCGTGTGTGTGTGTGTGTGTGTGTGTGTTAACAGGCTCAGCAGTGACGGAGTCGACTTGTTGTCAAAGTTCCTTCAGGTCAGTAAAAGTTTTTTCTTGATAAAACAGGAACTGACTTTCTTTGTTCATAGAGGGACAGTATTAATCCTGATGATCAAAGTAATAGAATAAGTATGAACCTGGTTTAAGATTTCCCTTCCTGGGCTACATGTCAACACGCTACATGTCAACACGCTACATGTCAACGCGCTACATGTCAACGCGCTACATGTCAACGCGCTACATGTCAACGCGCTACATGTCAACGCGCTACATGTCAACGCGCTACATGTCAACGCGCTACATGTCAACGCGCTACATGTCAACGCGCTACATGTCAACGCGCTACATGTCAACGCGCTACATGTCAACGCGCTACATGTCAACGGGCTACATGTCAACGGGCTACATGTCAACGCGCTACATGTCAACGCGCTACATGTCAACGCGCTACATGTCAACGCGCTACATGTCAACGGGCTACATGTCAACGGGCTACATGTCAACGGGCTACATGTCAACGCGCTACATGTCAACGCGCTACATGTCAACGCGCTACATGTCAACGGGCTACATGTCAACGCGCTACATGTCAACGCGCTACATGTCAACGCGCTACATGTCAACGCGCTACATGTCATGACACGCTACATGTCAACGCGCTACATGTCAACGCGCTACATGTCAACGCGCTCCAAATGCATCTGTGTGTGTGAGAAAAGCCTTTTCTCACCGAGAGAACATTCATGCACAGGAAGTGAAGCATCCTAAATACACTGTGTATTATACACTAAATACACTCCTAAATACATCACTCTGGTATTTACATTGATCTGGTGATTGTTTTGTGTGTATAAATGTGTTTAAATCGACTTTAGTTCGAAGGGAAGAAAAGGATCTCTGCGGCCGAGGCGATGAGTCATCGTTATTTCAGTAACCTTGGAAACAGAGTGGTGACGCTTCTCGATAGTAAGTTCAAACACAACGTTTGATTCTGATGTCACTGTTTGCTGTGACGTCACTAAGTCCTCCTGATGTTTCAGCAAAGTCCATCTTTAGTCTGCAAGAGATTCAACTGGAAAAAGAAACGATGAGACCAGTGAGCGCCGATCCAGGTAACACACGCACACACACACACACAGACACACAGACACACGCACACACACACACACACACACACAGACACACGCACACACACAGACACACAGACACACGCACACACACACACACACAGACACACGCACACACACACACACACACACACAGACACACACACACACAGACAAACACACAGATACACACACAGACAGACACACACACACACACACAGATACACACACAGACACACACACAGACACACACACAGACACACACACACAGACACACACACAGACACACACACACAGACAGACAGACACACACACACACACACAGATACACACACAGACACACACACACAGACAGAGACACACAGACAGACAGACAGACACACACACAGACACACACTCAATGGTCTTCATTGTTAGACACAGAAGCGTCGTCTTAACTCTTCTACGTTTTGTTCTCCTGAACTGGGAAACATTTTCCTCTTGAAGCCCTCAGATTTAAATTAGTACATTAAGTAGGAAGATGAAAGATAAAAGTTTTTCTGGGTCACAAAGTTACTTCTTGACGATGTCCAGCTAAACATCCGTCCATCGTGCTTCTTCCCCTCAAGTCTGAGTCCCCAATGAGCCACATTATCATCATATTCTATTCATTCTCTTTTTATTGCACCGTCCACCAAGACAATTCCTGTATGTGTAACACACGTGGCAACAAACAGCTTGTGAACACCTTCAGTTGAATGTTTTTATTTTACTTTTTGTCTGTCCAGATAACAGTCCGGCTAAAAGGTGTGGCCTGCTCCTCTGACATCATCGTGGGGGCGTGTTCTGCCTCAATGACATCATCCTATTTCAGGATTAAAGGGAAACTGAAAGAACCAATGACTTTCTATCGAGAGAAGAAGAAGAAGAAGAAGGAGGCGGCTTCTTGTTCAGAAACGTTGATGCAATAATGGGTCACAGCAGCCATCTGACCAATCAGCAACCAGCAAGTTGTGACATCAGTCACTTCAGAACAATGAGTTCAACAACAGACGAGTTACAGGTTATTTAACAGTCTTCCATTTTCAGATTCAACTCAAATGACTGTTGTCATGGATACGCCTGAATACAGGTAACACCTGCATGTGCAGCATCGTCCTTCATTCCACTAAAATGATATTAGTTTTATTTAAAAAGAAACACAACCATCAAAGTTTATCCTCAACGCAGACGGACCGACTCCAACCCGTTTGGTACCAACTGAATGTAACTATAGTAACCGTCAGTGAACAATCAATAAAGGATGTTCTACCTTTTTAAAGTTCAGAGACAATAATTGGTTTGGAGCTGCTGTTTGTGTACTTGTCATAGTACAGTATAACCTTTACAGTACTATTACACTATTTACACTTCTACCTTTTATAAAAGTCTTTTGTTTCAACCGGAAATCCGCAGAATAGAAAGTTTTAAGTTTAATAATAAAAGTGAACTAGTTTCTACTGTTCTGCATGTGTGTAGTACACTCAAACTGTAATACTGGTAATATATGTAGTAAACAATACAGTGATACTGTGATTATATACGCAGTCTAAAACAGCTCTTTTCTTCACAATGATCATTTGATTCATAACATGTTGAATAGCTTTTATTCAGAAATCCGAGGAAGACGACGTGACGTCAGCAGAGCCTCACCTGAGCATGGGGGCGGGGCTTAGTGATGTCTGCTACCTGTCGGCCCTATTTCCACCTCTAGTATTTCTACAAGGAAAGTCACGTACAGGCTTTAGAAACAGAAGGTGTTCAATATTTAGCAGTCAAATCAACTTATTTACAGCATATTAAACATCTTCTTTCTTTACAAATCGTTTAATACGCATGAGAATCTGTACGTTCTGGGCGGCCGTATCTTGAACTGAGGCCGTGCTTTGGACTTTGAGAATATTGTCCTTCAGAAAAAGGAATTCTCTTAGAATTGTTTGTGGGATTCTCAGGTTTTGGAGCATTAAGATATTTCGCACAAACTTTTGCTGATGTGAATTTTAATTTTGTATCTGTAGATGTTTGTATGTGAAAAGATCAAAATGTACAGTGACCATTGAAAGAAATCATATTGATTCATGTTTTGTTGTGATTAGTAATGAGAGGAAACGGGAGCGTTTCAAACTGAGGTGATGTTCCTCAGCTGCTGTTCCAGTTTGACTCGGACCAGAAGAATCCGGGTCACTGAACCAGGTTCAGGCTGCTGAAGAAACATTAAAGTTGACTTGTTGCACACACTAAATTCAATAAGTACTGAGCAAATAGGAATATTAATATATAACGTTTTCATCCTCGGTTACTAACCGTCACCATGAAGAAATGATTAAAGATAGAAACAAACGCTTGTTGAAGAAGGTCAGAAGGTTTCCATTTGTAGAAATATCTGGTTCTCCACTAATTAGTCTGGTTTAGAATAATCCGACTTGAGCTGTTGGATCCAAATCTTGTTTTCTCTGCTTTGTGTTGACACCAAAGTTCTCTGCAATATTTTGTATGATGCGATTCTTCCAGATAACTTCTTTGAATGTTCTTCCATCTGCAAAGAAAGCACTGTATCTTCTGCTGTAACGGATCTGCAATAACTGATCTGCATACTATGAATACCAATGAAAGTATGGAGAATTAATTTATATATATATTCTATGTACAATTATGTTGACTACATGTATTCTGGATATGTTTACAGTATGAATATACATTAAAAGTATTTATCTGCGTTGGGTGTATTGTGATTGGTTGGGGTTATTTACCCAAACAAACAAAAGGCTGGAAAAAAACACTGACGGAGCATCTGAGAAAGTCACTATACAGACAAAATGATGAAACAAATTGATCAAATAATGAAAGAAGAAACAATAAGATGACAAACAGAAAGATGAAAAACCTGGAAAATTCATCAAAACAGGCAAAGTGATGAGAAAACAATGAAACATATAAGATATTAGAAGGATTCAGACAAAAGACAAAACTGGAATTCACCGAGAAAGACAAAATAATGAAAAACAAAAGGACAAAGTGAAGGAATCTGAAAACTTCAACCAAAACAGACAAAATTAGGAAAAAAACAAGAAACAGACAAAAATAGAAAACTTTGGCAAAACAGACAAAAAGTCTAAATAGTGAAACACTAAAAATCATAAAAAGTGATTTGTCGGGTTAAAAGATGAAGCATCTGAAATATTTTGCAAAACAGACAAGATGATGAAAAAGACAAAAAATGACAGAAACAGACTGAATAATGCAAAAATACATCAAACAGACAAGAGGGAAACTGACAGTTAACCTGCTAACTATTTAACTTGGTTAATGAATTAATAAGTTAACACAGTGGTGTCACCTTGAAGGAAGAAGAATGTAGATTTTTGTTGGACTGACATGTAGCGTGACTGAGCTTCCTGGGTTCTTGGGAACAGAAGACACACAGAAGACACACAGAAGACACACAGAAGACACACAAGTCCTCAGTGATGACCAGGAGCTGCTCCTTGACTCCTTACACCACCTCCCCCCTGCAGCTCCACCCCCACTAACATTCTGTGACTCCTCCACCGAGGTTTATACAAATAACGGAAGCAAGAAATTGAATCAATTTAGTAAAGAAAACCAGGTTCCTCCATCAGATGAAAAAAATGAATGAAACGAAGCATGAATTAATATGACAAGAAATTAAGTGTTTAGTATTATAATTCACTCTCATTTTAAACAGTAACAGAATGAAATCTGTAGTTATGTTTTAATTTATACTTTTCCCATTTTTTATTGTTTCGTGATTAATGATACTTCTATTACTAATAATAACGCGAACAATTATAATATTAATAAAAAAAACATAATGATGAAAATATATTTAAATAATAATTGTTACCATAGTAATACATTTAAATAACAATCATACAAATAACAATATCTAATAACAATAATAATGATGATAATAAAATAGTACTTTACTATATCAAAGTACATTCAGACAGATGTTAAACACAGAAACTGCTCCTTCATTAAATGATACAAATAAAGATCCGATTAACGGCCTGACGTAAAAACAGAAAGTGCGTCGTAACGCGGAAGTGACGTAGCGGCCGTCAGATCGTGTTGATGTTTTGTGCGCCGGACGGCAGCAGAACGGGAAGAGGAGCCGCGTTCTGTTTTTGTTCAACCAAACCGTCGAAAAGGAGCCGAGCCGTTGTTTCTGTCGTCGGTTCCGGTCGGGTCGAGGCTCACGGTCGGTGATCGGTCCCGAGCGGCCGGACCGGAGGCTCGAAAACACCGCAGCATTTGATCCAGAAAGGGAGGACTCGTCACCCTCTGACCCCCTCCCTCCCTCCCTCTCTCTCACACACACACACACACACACACACACACACACACACACACACACACACACACACACACACAACCATGACGATTCTCCCCAAGAAGAAGCCCAGCTCCGGGGTCGGCGTGTCGGACCACACCGATGACAGCGACCGTCGGAGCGGCTCGGACCCACACCAACACCCGCACGCGGGGCGGAGCGGAGCCCGGTCGAGGGCTTTGCCCCCGCCGTGTCCTACCAGCCCGCTCCGCCCTCCGCGAGGGACGACCGGCGGGAGCATCGAGGCGAGCTCCCGGCCGCAGCAGGTCTCTCCGCCGCCCGTTCGGCTCAGCGTCCCCGGCGGGACCGGGGGACGGGCGGGACGGCAGTGGCGGGATGGGGGCTGGATCCCGCGGGGAGATCGTCGTCTCGGCCGGAGTCGTCGGCTGCAGCGGAGGCATCGGCAGCTGCTGTTCCGGGCCCGGACTCAGCAAGAGGCGGCGGCAGGCGGGCACCTGCTCCGGCGGGGTGGCGGCCGCTCTGGCCGGCGGAGGCCAGCCCGGCGTCACCGGACCCGCGGGAGGCTCCAGCCAGGACACGGAGGAGGGAGCCGGGAACAACAGCGAGGACGAGTACGAGAACGCGGCCCGGCTGCAGTCCGTGGACCCGGCCACGGTGGAGCAGGTAGGAAGCTAACGTTAGCGTTAGCACGGGCTAATGCTAGCGCAGTGTGTTTTGATGTGTTAGCATTAGCTTCCGGCGGGCTTCATCGATACCTAATGGACGTTTATTAGCGAGACAGCTGATCAGCACAAACACTGAGCGGAAACAATATGACGTGTAATATTAATACGCGCGGTTTTGTTCACTTTTATCGATACACGATAATAACGTCACGCTCCCGTTATGCGTATTTAAAGTGTCACCGCGACGATTAGTCTTTTTACTTTAATAATGTGAGAATCAACTGAATGTGAAACTTTCAACAAACCCGTACACAGCTGACTGTGTGTGTGTGTGTGTGTGTGTGTGTGTGTGTGTGTGTTCGTTCAGCAGGAGCACTGGTTTGAAAAAGCTCTGAGGGAAAAGAACGGTTTTGTCATCAAGAAGATGAAGGAGGACGGAGCGTGTCTGTTCAGAGCCGTTGGTAAGTGAGACACACACACACACACACACACTGCGGCCTGAGTGTAAGGTCAGGGGTCGCCGTCTCCTAAGTTGAAAATGCCGGTCGCCATATGCAATATATGACATATCGCACAATGTAGGACAATGATCATTTTTGGTGGTGCGATGTTCATTTGACAGAAATGAACGTTGGCGCTTCGTCTTGTCTGCGTCCATGGTCGGGGGCGGGGCTTACCGACCGGCGAAGGGAACACGTGAACCCTTAGTGTTCTTTCTTCTCTTCAGCATCGCTGTGGGAACGTTTGAGAGAAGAGAGACGATAACGTGAACGAGCCGCTACGTCGACTTAGTTTAAAAACACAACGGAAACAGGACACGACGAAGCTCAAAGCTCCCCTGAAACAACGAGCTGAACTACTGCGGCTCCTCCATGTCGCTGTGTTTGTCACCTGGTGATTGTGATGACTTTATTAAACCGTATGTCAGGCCTGATGCCCCCACCCAGTCCGGTTATTGATCACCTGTATCTGAATAACACTTCCCCTGATCACAGGGATCAATATCAGGAGCAAAACATTCCTGTTCTATTAGCGGAGCCGTAACACAATAAGTTTATTCCATCATACGGTTCAGACCCACAACGACAAGAATAAACGCTGCTAGAAGCTGTTAATAAAATTGTAATTCGGTGTTATAAAGAGCTACTACTGTGTTTTATAACACGGTGGATGAAATCCAGCGTTCTGATTGGTTGAGAGTCACGAGGGGCACGTTATTGGGCCATAAAGTACAGAACCTGCTCACACTGACCCGATTGTTCCGTATCACTCACAGGAGCAGCTGAGACTTTGTGCGACTCTTAGCTTTTAGCTCGGACCCGTTTGCGTTGACAAGCGGACCGTTAAGGTGGACGCCAGGAGCGATGCTGGTTACAGCTCGTAGGCGGACGGATTCTCTACAGCGAGGAAATGAGACACAACGTTTGGTGGCTTCAACCATTCAGAGCTGAAAGGAAACTATTTACTCACTAATTATAATTTCGCTGGTGACCGTGTTATAAAAGCAATAAAGAGTCGACCCTCCTCCGCTTATCCCTGCGGACCCTCATCAGGTCCACCTAATAAATCATAAGGTCATATTTGAAATAACTTTCTTTAACATAGATTAAGGTAATCCACATAATTCAACACATTTTACTTTAAACGCGGCTGATGACACAAAGGAAGTCGAGTTCTGAGTCTGTTACACATCGTGTGTTTGTGTGATGGAGATAATTCAAGTTGTGCGAGAGATTCTTTAAATCTGCACCATCGTCATGATGACATCATCGCGACACGTTCCAGTTAGCTTCCAGTTAGCTTCAGTGGCTAATATCAAAGCTCTCTGTGACCTCTGACCTCTGTGTCCCAGCTGACCAGGTCTATGGAGACCAGGACATGCATGAAGTGGTTCGGAAGCACTGTATGGACTATCTGGTGAGTCTTCATCGCCCTCCTCTTCCTCACTCACCTCCCCCTGGCTGTCCTCTTCATCGCCCTCCTCTTCCTCACTCACCTCCCCCTGGCTGTCCTCTTCATCGCCCTCCTCTTCCTCACTCATCTCCCCCTGGCTGTCCTCTTCATCACCCTCCTCTTCCTCACTCATCTCCCCCTGGCTGTCCTCTTCATCGCCCTCCTCTTCCTCACTCATCTCCCCCTGGCTGTCCTCTTCATCGCCCTCCTCTTCCTCACTCACCTCCCCCTGGCTGTCCTCTTCATCGCCCTCCTCTTCCTCACTCACCTCCCCCTGGCTGTCCTCTTCATCGCCCTCCTCTTCCTCACTCACCTCCCCCTGGCTGTCCTCTTCATCGCCCTCTTCCTCCTCACCGGTCTTCACCTGTCAGTCTTCTTCACTTGTCTCCTCCTCTTCCTCACAGATGAAGAACGCAGACTACTTCTCCAACTACGTGACGGAGGACTTCACCACATACATCAACAGGAAGAGGAAAAACAATTGCCACGGCAACCACATCGAGATGCAGGCGATGGCTGAGATGTACAACCGGCCGGTGGAGGTGTACCAGGACAGCACAGGTGAGTTAGTCCGTCCAATAGGAACCACCTGCAGACCCGTTCGTACTCAATCGTGTTCCGCCAGCCTGACCCCGCCCCCTCCTCCTCCCACAGAGCCAATCAATACGTTCCACGGCATCCACCAGAACAACGACGAGCCAATCAGAGTGAGCTACCACCGCAACATCCACTACAACTCGGTGGTGAACCCCAACAAGGCCACCATCGGGGTCGGACTGGGACTGCCCGCCTTCAAACCTGGGGTACCAGAACCTTGTTAAACCTGCGGGCCTCATGTCAGAATCTGTTTGCACGAGGGGGAGGGGCTTGAGTCTAAACAGCCAATCACAAAAGGCGCCGTGTCTGCCTGAATGGGATGTGGCTTTAAGCCGGCGGGTTACCATGACAACCACGGCCGCAGCGCTTGAAAGACGCGTTCCCGCTTTATGTTTACTCGCGTGTGGATTCTCGTCTAAATCCACCACTTCGTCGAGTTTCTCCTCACTAATGAGAAGTTGTCGGTCGTCCTTCTTCACTTGGATCGATACTGGTGATCGGCTCTCCTCCCTCGTCGTGCTGCACGCTTTCTGTGGTTAGAACCCTGAAACCAGTTGTCCCCCCAGTACGCCGAGCAGACGCTGATGAAGTCGGCCATCAAGACGTCGGAGGAGTCGTGGATCGAGCAGCAGATGCTGGAGGACAAGAAGAGGGCCACCGACTGGGAGGCCACCAACGAGGCCATCGAGGAGCAGGTGGCCCGCGAGTCCTACCTGCAGTGGCTCCAGGACCAGGAGAAGCAGGCCCGCCAGGTAGGAGGCTCTGCACCAATCAGAGGCCAGCGCCGCTCCCCCTCCTCCTCCTCCTCCTCATCATGAGTCTGCTCCTCACTTATCTCCTCCTCCTCCTCTTCCTCGTTGGTCTCCTCACTTATCTCCTCCTCCCTTACAGCCTCGTAAGGCCACTGCTACCTGCAGCTCGGCGACCGCGGCGGCCTCCAGCGGGCCTGATGACTGGAGTGGCCGGTCGCCGCGGCAACGTGACTCTGATCCCTCCCACTCCGAGCTCCCTGGCGCTCCCTCGGCGAACAAACCCCCCTCCCCCGCCGGCGCCGCCCTCATCCTCAACAAGCCCCCCTCCCCCTGCGCGCCAGGTAAAGCGCACACACACATGCACACACAGACACACACCCCGCACACACCCGCACACACACACACACACACACACACACACACACACGAACACACACACACTCTACTTAGCCTATCAGAGAGCAGTGTGAGCTACGGATCAAACTGGTGTGTGTCTGTGTGTGCGTGTGTGTGTGTGTGTGTGTGTGTGTGTGTGTGTGTGTGTGTGTGTGTGTGCATGTGCGTGTGTGTGTGTGTGCATGTGTGTGTGTGTGTAGGTCCCAGTAATCAGAGTCGTCATCATCTGGAGTACAGAGCCATCATGCAGGAGATGTCACCTACAGCATTTGGTAAGACCTAACTACTACTACTGGTAAAAGTACTACTGGTACTAGTTCTGGTACTTTTATCACAGCTGTCATGTTTTCTACTAACTGTCACCTGCTGTTTACAGTCCGACCTCAACAGGAAGATTGAATCAGAAATCAAAATGCAGAAAGTTTTGTCAAATTGATGAGACTTTATGGATTCAGGTCTTTACTAAACTGGTCCATGATCTGGTCTGTGATCCAGTCTGCATGCTGCTCCAGGATCTGATCTGTGATCCGGTCTGTATACTGGTGCATGATCTGGTCTGTGATCCAGTCTGCATGCTGGTCCAGGATCTGGTCTGTATACTGGTCCAGGATCTGGTCTGTGATCCGGTCTGTATACTGGTCCAGGATCTGGTCTGTGATCCGGTCTGTATGCTGGTGCAGGATCTGGTCTGTGATCCAGTCTGTATGCTGGTGCAGGATCTGGTCTGTGATCCGGTCTGTATACTGGTCCAGGATCTGGTCTGTGATCCGGTCTGTATACTGGTGCAGGATCTGGTCTGTGATCCGGTCTGTATACTGGTGCAGGATCTGGTCTGTGATCCGGTCTGTATACTGGTGCAGGATCTGGTCTGTGATCCGGTCTGTATACTGGTGCAGGATCTGGTCTGTGACCCAGTCTCCTGTGTTCCAGGTCTGACCGACTGGGAGGACGATGAGATCCTGGCCTCGGTCTTGGCGGTCTCCCAGCAGGAGTACCTGGACAACATGAAGCACCAAAGCTCCGCCTCCATGCATCGAGAAAGAGAGCCGTCACCGGACAGCAGCTGATAGGCGGCTGACACACATAAAACGATGACCTTTGACCCCCTTCCCCCCTCCTGTCCACTGCTGAGCAGGAGATCGACCATGGACAAAATAAAACATCAAACAAAGAGATGCACACTTGTTTTTTTCAGCAGACATTTCAACGTATCCTTCATCCCTCACCTCCTCCTTTCCTCTCCTCGTCATGCCTCCTATATCGCCTCCCGTCCCACCGCCTTTCTATTCCTGGCTACGACCCACATAGAGCTCCGCCCTAATGCTGATTTGGGATCAGTTGTGATTCAAGCTTTTATTTAATTCATTGACATCACTTTTCAATTTTAATATCAGTGTTTTGGTGTCTGTCGGGACCTTTGGGGTCAAAGACGGATGCTAATCTGAACTGAAAAGACGTCCTGTATTAGCGAGCTAGCTATCACCTCAAGTCTAATCTGTTTTAAAGCTAGTTACCGCTAACAGCGCTAACAAGTTAGCTCAGCTAGCCTCGCAGCTCCCACCGGCGGCCATCTTTGTGTCAAACACCACATACACCTTCATGGTCTGTAACAGGTCTCCCCACTCGTCCTCCTCCACCTCCTCCACCTCCCATCAGCTTCATCATCAGACTTATTTAGCATGTTTAATCAACACGGCCAATATCGTCATAGAGAAAAAGCGACAAAAAAGGTGATAAAAATGTGAGAATTGTCATACTTATCCTCCTAAATGATTGATATCGTGTATTATAGTAATATAAGGTTGTTTTATTTTATTTTATCGTTGGGATGAAATACCTTTTTTTTTTCTTGGAATAGAAAGAGGAAAAATGTTTCTGAAGAAAAATGTTTTGGAGATTTTCTTTTATGAAGAGTTACATTTATTATATATGAGTATTTATTATACACAAATATTAGTCTACTCTGAATATTTATTATTAATTATTATTGTTTTTTTTCCTGAAAGAATTATTTTAACTGCAACGTTCTATCAATACTTTTACTACATTTAAGTACTTTTACTTTTATTCTGGTAATATTTTTACTATATGCATGAACTTGAACTTGTAATGTGGTATTAGTACCTTCACTACATTTATGTACTCTTACCTGTAGTGTTCCATTAATAGTTTTACTACATGTATGTATTTGGACTTGCAGTGTGGTATTAGTACCCTTGTCGCATGTAGGTACTTGTATGTCATTAGTACCTTTACTGCATGTAGGTACTTGTATCCAGTCATTAGTACCTTTAATGTATGTAGGTACTTGTATTCAGTCATTAGTACCTTTACAGCATGTGGGTACTTGTATTCAGCCATTAGTACCTTCACTGCATGTGGGTACTTGTATCCAGTCATTAGTACCTTTACTGCATGTAGGTACCTGTACTTGTATTCAATCATTAGTACATTCACTGCATGTAGGTACTTGTATTCAGCCATTAGTACCTTTACTGCATGTAGGTACCTGTACTTGTATCCAGTCATTAGTACCTTTACTGCATGTAGGTACTTGTATCCAGTCATTAGTACCTTTAATGTATGTAGGTACTTGTATTCAGTCATTAGTACCTTTACAGCATGTGGGTACTTGTATCCAGTCATTAGTACCTTTACTGCATGTAGGTACCTGTACTTGTATTCAATCATTAGTACATTCACTGCATGTAGGTACTTGTATCCAGCCATTAGTACCTTTACTGCATGTAGGTACCTGTACTTGTATCCAGTCATTAGTACCTTCACTGCATGTAGGTACCTGTACTTGTATCCAGTCATTAGTACCTTCACTGCATGTAGGTACCTGTACTTGTATCCAGTCATTAGTACCTTTACTGCATGTAGGTACTTGTATCCAGTCATTAGTACCTTCACTGCATGTAGGTACCTGTACTTGTATCCAGTCATTAGTACCTTTACTGCATGTAGGTACTTGTATCCAGTCATTAGTACCTTTACTGCATGTAGGTACTTGTATCCAGTCATTAGTACCTTCACTGCATGTAGGTACCTGTACTTGTATCCAGTCATTAGTACCTTTACTGCATGTAGGTACCTGTACTTGTATCCAGTCATTAATTTCTTTACTGCATGTAGGTACCTGTACTTGTATTCAGTCATTGGTACATTTACTGCATGTGGGCACTTGTATCCAGTCATTAGTACCTTTACTGCATGTGGGTACTTGTATCCAGTCATTAGTACCTTCACTGCATGTAGGTACCTGTACTTGTATCCAGTCATTAGTACCTTTACTGCATGTAGGTACTTGTATCCAGTCATTAGTACCTTCACTGCATGTAGGTACCTGTACTTGTATCCAGTCATTAGTACCTTTACTGCATGTAGGTACTTGTATCCAGTCATTAGTACCTTCACTGCATGTAGGTACCTGTACTTGTATCCAGTCATTAGTACCTTTACTGCATGTAGGTACTTGTATCCAGTCATTAGTACCTTTACTGCATGTACGTACTTGTATCCAGTCATTAGTACCTTCACTGCATGTAGGTACCTGTACTTGTATCCAGTCATTAGTACCTTTACTGCATGTAGGTACTTGTATCCAGTCATTAGTACCTTCACTGCATGTAGGTACCTGTACTTGTATCCAGTCATTAGTACCTTTACTGCATGTAGGTACTTGTATCCAGTCATTAGTACCTTCACTGCATGTAGGTACCTGTACTTGTATCCAGTCATTAGTACCTTTACTGCATGTAGGTACTTGTATCCAGTCATTAGTACCTTTACTGCATGTAGGTACTTGTATCCAGTCATTAGTACCTTTACTGCATGTAGGTACCTGTATCTGTATCCAGTCATTAGTACCTTTACTGCATGTAGGTACTTGTATCCTGTCATTAGTACCTTTACTGCATGTAGGTACTTGTATCCTGTCATTAGTACCTTTACTGCATGTACGTACTTGTATCCAGTCATTAGTACCTTTACTGCATGTAGGTACTTGTATCCAGTCATTAGTACCTTTACTGCATGTAGGTACTTGTATCCAGTCATTAGTACCTTTACTGCATGTAGGTACTTGTATCCAGTCATTAGTACCTTTACTGCATGTAGGTACTTGTATCCAGTCATTAGTACCTTTACTGCATGTAGCTACTTGTATCCAGTCATTAGTACCTTCACTGCATGTAGGTACCTGTACTTGTATCCAGTCATTAGTAGCTTTACTGCATGTATGTACTTGTATCCAGTCATTAGTAGCTTTACTGCATGTATGTACTTGTATCCAGTCATTAGTACCTTTACTGCATGTAGGTACTTGTATCCAGTCATTAGTACCTTTACTGCATGTAGGTACTTGTATCCAGTCATTAGTACCTTTACTGCATGTAGGTACTTGTATCCAGTCATTAGTACCTTTACTGCATGTAGGTACTTGTATCCAGTCATTAGTCATTGATGGGACTCAGCCGTCTGTGGTTCTACATCACATCACATGTCATTTATCTGACGCTTTTATCCAAAGCGACTTACAATAAGAACATTTAACCATAAGGACACAAACTCAGAAGAACAAGAAACAAGAAAGTCTAATTTCATCGAATGAGCCAGTTTACAACTTGCTGTAGATAAGAACCAATATGAGGACAGTTGAAGTTCTCCAGCCAGTGAAAAGAGCGTTTTTAAGGTTCTCTCTCCCCTCAGGTTCCTCCGTCAGGTGGCGGAGGCCCTGCGGTTCCTCCAGGCTAAAGGACGTGGTGCACAGGGACATGAAGGATGAGAACCTGCTCTCCCCTCAGGGACCCGGGTCTACAGCCCCCAGGAGTGGATCTCCTGTGGTCTCTAGAAGACGGTTCTCTCACCTTTTGGTCTCTGGGCGTCTTGCTCTTCAACATGGTGTGCGGCAACATCCCCTTTGAGCGTGAACAGGACATCCTGAAGGCCACGCCCACGTTCACCAGACGGGTCTCTAAAAGTGATCGGAGGTTCCGCCCTCCGTCCCAAACCCCGGATCGGCTCAAATGTCTTCCCAGAATGCCAGTCTCTCACTTGCTGGTGTCTGTCTTACCGTCCTGAGGAGCGACCCACTCTGGAGGAGATCCTGTCTCACCCCTGGATGGAGGGAGGGGAGGAAGAGGAGGAGGAGGAGACCTGCAGGAGGACCAAGGCTCTCTGTCCAACCAGTCCCTCTGACCAGCTGAACGTACAACAACGTGACCCCACTAGGCTCTGGATAAAAGACCCGTCGCTGTAAAATACTCCTTTCTCATTGGCCGATCTTAAAGTGGCTCGTTGCCCACTTAGTTATGGTTATTTATATGGAATAAGAACTTATGGAATGGAAAGATCCAATATTTGAAAATGTTTTTGTGACTTGATCAGGTTGTGTCGTGGTCTTTTATTACCCACAATTCATTGTATTCAAACCCATTAGGACAAGGGATAAAAAAACCTTACAACTTCTTATGAGCGAAGAGTGAAAATATCATAATTTAACATTTGACATTATGACGTCATCTTACATTATGATTTGCTACGTTATTCATTACATAGTCATGTGTAATGTTATAGTTGTATATCACAGTATCAAACACTACTGCTTTATGTTACAATGATTGGGCGACCCTGGTAGAGATCGGACAGGTGAGCCCCTCCAGCAGCCAATAGGATTCCTTCACGTTCAACCTGCAGGTGAACAGAGAAGCAAATGCTACAGTTTTTTTCGGTTGCTAAACGTCAGCGAGAACAACCGGAGTCACATGTGCAAAACTATAACTACAGCCTGCACAGCAGCAGTTCATGAGGACCGAACTCTAGATCCTTTTCAGTGCTTGAACACAGTTTTCAAAACTCTACACACTGATCACATGACGTCTCCACAACCTGCGCTTTCAAACACTGATGATTGCAATTCAGCTGAAAGGCTGAGCATCTTGTTTTAGACTTGTTAGTGAACACACACACACACACACATACATATATATATATTACAGTATATATATATATATATATACTGTAATATATATATATATGTATATGTATATATATACATATGTATGAATATATGTATATTTATATGTATATGTATATATATATATTTATATGTACATATATATGTATATTTATATGTATATATATGTGTATTTAAAAAACTAAGATCGAGGAATTGCTTTGTCACTTTTGTCTTTCACAGAAGTTGAGCCCTTTTTTGTTTAAATAAATAAATAAATCATGGATTAATTCTAAAAATATTAAATCTAACACCCACACGGTTAAAAAAACGTTAAAATACCTAATTATTATAAAAAATACGAAATTACTACCAGTCACACTGAATTATGTCATTGGTATTATTGTGACACAAAACACCTTGATTCTGAAATACTACTCCGACTCTTTGAGATTCTTCCTGGATCCACAGGTCCTTTAAGGAAGTGCAGCGGACGTACTTCACTTCTTCCAAACACCATGATATACGTGAGAATTTGAATGAAGCTTTTAAGCCATTTAAGTCATTTGTGTTTGTAACATTTTGTAACAATTACAAGTTAGAAGTTTTTCTCTAAATTGTCGTTGGAGTTACAGTCACTGGTGTTACTGGTGTTACTGGTGTTACTCCTGCTCCTGGTAACGCCAGTGGCATCTTGTATAAATGAGCCACATACAGGCTGCAAGACTGACTGTTTTTAGAGTTTCACTGGTAGTTGTGTTGATTTCCTATTTCGTTTGTCTACGGTGGCTCGTCCTAGTCCTTTAGATGTTTTTAATAAATAGTCCGGAACATGTACGGAAATTATATGAAAAATGCTGACTTCAAGAATGTCACTGGTGTTACATTGTTTTCAGTGATGTGATACTATAGATGTATTTTTTCACATTTCAAGCAATTTTTTTCTGTATTGATTGGTGATACAATGATACATTCATATTTTTAAAAAAATCTCACAAAAATCTCACAATTTTTGTTGAATGAAAAATGATACGGTAAAACAAATCATACAATGTTGTAAGAACGTCTGCAGTTTTATAAAACAATGTTATTAATAAAATATTTTTTATTGGTCTCATAGTTCCATTACTCTACCGTTAGCATCATTTTCAAATTTTTCAGACCATTTAATGTTGTTTACAAGTAACACCAATGACAAAAATCCTGCAAATGAATTATTCAATAAAATATCTAAAAATAATAAAAATACATTAAGCTTGCCATTTTGTGGATTGATTAAGTTTAGAAGTTGGTTAATAGATTAAAAGACGTTTTTGTTATGAAAGGAGAAATACATTTCAGAATATTTGTACCTAAACTCCACCTTTTCTGCAGAATGACCCATGTGTGTATCATTTTAAAATGTATAATATAAAAAAGCACAATGTAAATGAATATACAAAAAAATACATTAAGACATATTTGCATCCATTTAAAATAAATTACATTAATTGAAAATGAAATTACCTTTAACACAGTTCAGCAACCGGGCCTCGTTTTCTCCCTCAGAGTGGTTCCTCCTGTCACTTCGTGATTTCTCCGCAGTTGTAGTTCCTTTACTTCCGGTAAACACCTTCCTCTCCACACTGTTTCCATTCCGGCGCTTGAGCTGCTTCCCCCCGGAGTCTTCGTCTGTGGGCTCCGGTCTGATATCCGCGTGACGGCCTCTGGGGGTCGGGGCTCCGTTAGCAGAGGAGCTAGCCGGGAGGCTAGCGCAGCGTCAACCAGCGCGGTAGCGGGCCGAAGGTCCGGTCGACGGGCAGACGGAGCCCAGCATGGCCGCGGAGAGCCAGAGCCGGGCGGCCGAGGAGAAGACGTCGGGCCGGAGTGACGGTGAGGGAGGACCGGGGAGGGTTAGCTAACTAGCGGCCAACAAGCTGCTCAACTGACAACACCTCTTTCATTATACGTCAAACATTCATTTCATGGTACTATTAAACTAACGTGCATCCCAACTGTTTAATGAAGAGAACAGTATGGTAGTTTTAATTTAAATAAAACAAGGAAGCTAGCTGGGCTAACGGCTAACGTCACTGTTTACTACTGTGTGTGATGCTGACCGACCCAGTGTTACAGTTAGCTCTGCAGCTAATGCTAACAGCATCCAGGTGCGATGCTGACGTGGAGCTTTCAGGTGCGGTTGATGTGGTAACAATACACACAAAGGTGTAGTCAACGTTTATATTAGTGTACTTTAGATACTGCTTAGTTTAATCTACAGCAAAGCAAGTCACTCCTGTTTTATTATTTGTTTTTGTCTGTCATTATGTTTTGTACCATGTATCTTGTGTGCACTGTCCACTGCCGCCGTCCTGTGAAGGAATATCTTATTTAAAGTATCTATACAATCCTCCTGTTTGTAGATACTGTGAGAAGTACTAACTAACGCACTAAAATGTAGTTGATAAACAAGTGTTACTGGTTTGCACAGTTGTTTTTGTGTCACCTCCCACTTTGGAAGAAGAAAAATGTTCACGCTTCAACACAATTGGAACAATGCAAATGCAATGCATTTGAACATGCAAAGTAAAGTTCTATCACTGAAAAACATAACAAATATTTGGCAGAAAATAGTTTATTGTGTAATTAACCTGTTTTGCACTGAACGTCGTTTCAAGATAAGTGGAACCTTTGCAAAACCAAACAAAGTTATTGCAGAAATTAGCCGCCTCATGATCATAATTCATGCTCGTGTTTACTCATGAGAGGCAACAGCAGGCCGAGTGCTTTTCACTTGTGTAAGATGAGACATCAAAGTTCTTCAAACAAAGAATTTCCCAAAGCGCCCACCTGTAATACCACGACGACCCACCAGAGGGCTGCGCCCCACCGTTTGAAAGACACTGGTTTAACAGGTAGACCAGTAGAAAGACGGGTGGACAGGTGGAGTCAGTGCTGGTGACGTGACTCCTCCCCCTGATCTTCTCCTTCCTCCTCATGCTTACTGTGTCTCACCTTGACTCCCTGAGCTCCAGCTGACCTCCTCTCCTCCTCCTGATCTCAGGGAGGAGGAGGAGACTGTTGAGACTCTCTCCTTTCCTCCCTCAAACTTCCCTCCAGTCAACAAGAAGCTCAAGTACATCAGCCTGGCAGTGCTCGTGGTCCAGAATGCGTCACTCATCCTCAGCATCCGATACGTGCGCACGTTGCCAGGCGATCGCTTCTTCACCACATCCGCCGTCGTCATGGCCGAGGTCCTGAAGGTGCTCACCTGTCTGCTCATCATCCTGCTGCAGAGGAGATGTGAGGCACCTCTGGCTAAACTTCATGGAGCTAATAACCAACTAATTATTACAAATAAATAGGGAAAGTTACTGATGCCAACCAGAGATGTTCACCAAAGCGCTGTCTGTCTCTCCCATCCCGTCTCCAGTCCACTTGAAGGACACCGTCTACTTCCTGGTTGACTCCATCTTGTTTCAGTATAAAGACACTCTGAAACTGGCCGTTCCTTCTCTCATCTACACTCTGCAGAACAACCTGCAGTACGTCGCCATCTCCAACCTGCCCGCTGCCACCTTCCAGGTGAGACCTCCTCCTCCTCCTCACCTTCATCATCGTCACAGCAGACGCCTGATCCGGTGGTTTGATCCCTCAGGTGACCTACCAGCTGAAGATCCTCACCACGGCTCTGTTCAGCGTGACCATGCTGAGGAAGAGTCTCTCCAGGGTGCAGTGGCTTTCTCTGCTGCTGCTGTTCGCCGGCGTCGCCGTGGTGCAGGTACTTGTCCACCACCACCCTGGTGGTGTCCACGTGCTGGTACTCCGACATGCCGCTTTTTAATGTTTTATCATTGTCACCATGTGACCCCGCCCCCAGATGGAGCAGGAGGGCAAGAAGGAGGCCTCGTCAGCGGCCTCCTCCACCCAGAACTACACCGTGGGCCTGGTTGCCGTGGTGATCAGCTGCCTGTCGTCGGGCTTCGCCGGCGTTTACTTTGAGAAGATCCTGAAGGGCAGCGCAGCCTCGGTGTGGGTGAGGAACGTGCAGCTCGGCATCTTCGGCACAGCGCTGGGCGCCGTCGCCCTCTGGTGGCAGGACGGCGGCGCGGTGGTGGAGCGCGGGGTGCTGTTCGGCTACACCGGCGCCGTGTGGTGCGTGGTGCTCAACCAGGCCTTCGGCGGGCTGCTGGTGGCGGTGGTGGTGAAGTACGCTGACAACATCCTGAAGGGCTTCGCCACCTCGCTCTCCATCGTGGTCTCCACGGTGACCTCCGTCTACCTATTCGGCTTCCAAGTGGACCTACTCTTCACCGCGGGGGCGGGACTGGTCATCGGCGCCGTCTACATGTACAGCCTCCCCAAAGGACCCTCCTCCTCCTCTTCCTCCTCCTCCTCCGCCTCCTCTGTGACGCCCCCGACAACGGAGCTGGAGGCATTTCTGCCAAAGTCAGTGCTGGTGAAGTGACTCCTCCCCCTGATCTTCTCCTTCCTCCCTCATGCTTACTGTGTCTCACCTTGACTCCCTGAGCTCCAGCTGACCTCCTCTCCTCCTCCTCATCTCAGGGAGGAGGAGGAGACTGTTGAGACTCTCTCCTTTCCTCCCTCAAACTTCCCTCCTCCTTTGGTCAGAAGATCTTCTGACTCAAATGGGAGGAGGTTTTAACTCCTCCTGCTCTCCTCCCTAAACACTAATGTCTCCTCTCTCCTCAGAGCTCAGAGACTCGTAGCTCCTCCCCCACCGTCCTGATCACAGACTAACCGCTGAAAGCACAACGAGGAGCAGCGTCTCTGCCTTAAAACTCTGTGGGACTGGAAGAGGACAAGCCTCACGCTGATTATTGATTATTGATTGTGCTTCAGGAGAATCTGCTCAGCTTCTGTTTCTTTATTCTTGAGGAACAGTGAAAAACTGAGATGAAAGTTAACGAGGTAAAAACGTTCAAATCTGTCATTTAAATCTGCAAAAGAAAATAAACAGTGAAAAAACATTTTGATTGAATGAAAACTGATAATGTGAACTCGTCCAGCTCTCCTCCTCCACCCGCTTCCCCTGCTCTCCTCCTCCACCCGCTTCCCCTGCTCTCCTCCTCCACCCGCGTCCTCTGCTCTCCTCCTCCACCCGCTTCCTCTGCTCTCCTCCTCCACCCGCGTCCTCTGCTCTCCTCCTCCACCCGCGTCCTCTGCTCTCCTCCTCCACCCGCTTCCTCTGCTCTCCTCCACCCGCTTCCTCTGCTCTCCTCCTCCACCCGCTTCCTCTGCTCTCCTCCTCCACCCGCTTCCTCTGCTCTCCTCCTCCACCCGCGTCCTCTGCTCTCCTCCTCCACCCGCTTCCTCTGCTCTCCTCCTCCACCCGCTTCCTCTGCTCTCCTCCTCCACCCGCTTCCTCTGCTCTCCTCCTCCACCCGCGTCCTCTGCTCTCCTCCTCCACCCGCGTCCTCTGCTCTCCTCCTCCACCCGCTTCCTCTGCTCTCCTCCTCCTGGTTCTTCTTCTATGGTTTCATGTGTTCCAGATGATGCTTCTCTTTTAGATCAGTAATCAGTTGTTTATCACTGATCAATATCATCGATGGATCCGACTGAAGAGTGTGAAACACTGGTGTTATAAATAGTAATTGATCAACCTTTTGATTGATGGCTGCTCGGTGGAGGAGACGTAAGGTAGAAGGTGGAGGAGACGAGTAGATCTAAAGTGGAAGGAGGCGATATTCTATATTCATATTAATGGTGTAAACATTGATTCATAACCTGCTTCTTCCTCATCATTGACTTTACATTAAGGATTTAATACTTTTCACATTGGAAATGATTGTTAAGTCTCTGCAGGAGACAAAATATATAAACGTTTTAATGTCACAATTGATGATTTCTGTCTTTGATAAGAGGATGAGAATGAAGATGATGAAGATGAGGGTGATGAGGATGAAGTTATATTGGCCTTTTATGAAGTCTTGATTTGATAAACAGTCGCTGTGGAAGAAGTACACACAGCAACAACCGCCAGGCCCCGCCCCCTCATGGCGCCTTCAACTCAAGTCACCAACCTGTGTTGCATTAAAGCAACAATGTATTTACTTATGTAGGTATTGTTACGGCCGTACATAAAGAAAACAAGTACAATGAAATGCAAGAGTTTAATTATTCGTTCAGAATAACGGTAACTTAACAAAACAAAGTCTATGTTCACAACAAAGGGGACAATCATCCTCCAGATGGGGGGGGAGGATGGTATGAGTTGGGTAACTAGACAAAGGCCAAAGCGACGTCTCCAGAGGCAGTCGCCCCCCTGGAGGAAGGCCGGGGGAGTTTCATCCTCTCCACAACTAAGAGGCAGGCAGGGAGCAGGGGAGTGTCATCTCCCACGCTCTCCCAGAACACAGCGGCACCAGCAGGCGGGCAGACGAAGGGCTCGGTCGTAACAGTATATGAATTAATATCTTTTGTATTTCAATCATATATGATTTTTGTACGCTTAATTTCATTATTCATGTTAATTTTCTGACACAATATTTAACAACTGGTTGGCACATGTTTAATTAACAAAACACAAATGAACTTCTCCTTCCTCTCTTTTCTCCTGCAGGTGTTCAGCTAAACAAAAAGGATCTTGAGTGACAGACGGCTGGTGTCACCCTGCTGGTACTACAAGTATTAACAGTCGATAGTGATACGACTTATTATTATTATTATTATTACGTTACTACTGTAGTGTTATCATACTAGTTTGTGCTACTACATCTACATTATGCACTACTGTAAAATAGGTTAGAGTTCTCCCGTAACTATCATCCATTACATTATGCTAGGTATTCATCATTTCAAAATAAAAGCTTTTTCAAAAATGTGTATGAAGATTTGAAAGATTGATTCAACTACTGTATTTTTTCCTTAGAATTCTTTAAAAAAAAACTAAACTGAAAACTGCTCGAAAAAAATATTAATAAAAGTGAATAAATAATAAAGTAAAAATATGCTGTAGATTGTGAATTTAAACGATCTGGATTCACTCATTCAAAATAATGCAATTGACTTTGATGTATAGATTTCAAAATAAAAGTCCATATTGAAAATGAAATGTTCTTAAGGGAAACTATCAAAACAATTTCATTAATGTTTTTTCGTAAAGTGTCTTGAAGAGAAATTAACCTGAAGTGAGTTTCCTTTAATTTGTGTATGAGAATGTATTTTTCTGTTGTTGTTTTCACCCTGTGGTTGGAGATTGATTTAACCAATGGAATTATTTCATTGTCTATCGGTGTCATTTTGTTCTGATTGAAACTTTTCTGAAGTCAGATTCTCATGTTTCGTTTTATATCTAAAGTAAATGAAGAAATCATCATAAGCAGAGTGTAGGTCATTGTTTTGACTCATCAATCTAAAATCATCAGCTGACTTTTGTTTAGTCTTCAGAATATATTAGTATTCAATTCATTTTATTTTATAGAGCCCAAAATCGCAAATTACAAATTTGCCTCAGAAGCCTTTACAGTCTGTACACATGCAACATCCTCTGACCTTTGACCCTCACATCGGTACAGGAAAAACTCCCCCAAAAATTCTCTCTTCGAGGAGGAAAAAAGGAAAGAAACAAACTCAGCGAGAACGTTGGAGGAGGATCCTTCTGTCAGGATGGACAGAAGACAAAGTGCTGTCCCTGCATATTTACACCTTTTAAAGACTCTCACACCACTGAGTAGGTGACCTCAGTGAGTCCTGAGGGGTCAGGGGTCAGACTGTTTCACCAGGTCCGCCCTGAAGAGCAGCAGGTAAACAAAACAAACAACCCCTAATCACAGAAGAGAGATCTTCTGCTTCTGACTTCTTCTGTGAAACGTGCATGTAGATGTTGAGATTATTCTGCCAGGCATTAGCCTACACCGCGCGGGCCTGATGGTGTCCAGTTCCTTCCCAGGAATCAGTCGGTACCCATTCCCAATGAGTCCTCCTGAACCGGTGTCAGCCGGATCCCGTTCTTCGCTGATGAAGAATCTCTGAGAGGTGAGAGTCCATTTGTCTCCTCCTACTTCTTTCTTTGACTTTCCAACAAGGAAAATAATCTGTTTTTATTTTATTCTAATCTGTTTTTATTTGTCTACTGTACTTAAGTACAACTTAAGATGTTTACGTTGAAGATATGAAACATCAGCATTCATCTGAGACGATTAGTCATTAGTGGATCGAGCCACTGGATTGGCCGAAGTGATTGAATGAATGATTGAGGTATTGTTGGTGCCACGCCCCTTTTCCTTCCTTTATGGGGATTGAGTCACGTGGTGTTTGGCATCAGTGGGATAGAATGTGTGGTTGGGTGAGAGACGGGGTTTATATTTTGTACACCGATGCTTGAATCATTGGACAAAGATCCGCAGTAACTGGATCAGGGACACGTTGCTCGGCCTCTCGGGGACAGCAAACAAATGACGTCACCCACAACAACCATTTCATTAGTGACGAGTCGTTTTCCTGTAGGACCTCCTGTTGGTCGGGTTCAGTGTGGATCGGATGGCCGATGCGGTTCTGTTGGCTCAGCCCAGGATGAGGTGCAGGTCTCGCCTGCTGTGGATCAACACAGAATAATAATAATGCTTAGTACCGAAATAAATAAATAACTAAATAAGAAATTGTGAGGGATGACTATGTTGTTTGAGTTTGTTACTTTTGGTTCTGGTTTACATTTCTTCTTCTTCAGAACATTATTCTCACTGTTTGTACTGAGCTTAAAATGTTCACCATTAAACATTAAACAGGTTTTATTGGTCTGCAATAATTGTTTGTGTTCATAATTCACCGTAAGACGTTAACTGTTAGTGGTTTATAATATCTATGACTTTTATATTGTATTAGAACATAATTATTAAAGTACTAATTTAATATAACTATAAATACAACATGAAACATAAAACGTTTTAATACAGTGAAATATACGATCATATGAATGCGCGCATGCGTAGACTGGATGGGGGGGGACTCCTGTGACGTCACAGGAGTAGATTAAACTTGGACTTGGTGAGAGGGCGCCTCGTGATGAAAGAGAGGGAGGAGTTTTCCTGATGACGTAGGCGCAGAGAGAAGGGGAGCGAGCGACAGAGGGGGCGGGGCTGCGTGCGTGACGTCAGGCAGCGCAGCAGCTTCTCCTTGTAAAGCCGCAGGTCGGTCAGACGGACGGACCTTAAATACCTCGCAGCTCCGCGAACGGGACGTTTGACAGCCGAGAGGACCGAGACGCGTCCACGTGCCTCCGGTCATCTGCCCCCGGGACTGCAGCCGCTCGGTGTCCTCCGGTGGTCCCGACCCCCCCGCGCCCCGCTGCGTCCTCCCGCGGGCCGCCGTCTCCTCGTGCCTCTCCGCGCTCATGCGCTTCTTCAGACTCACATTCAAGTGCTTCGTGGACTGTTTCTGAAGGTCGCCGCTCGCGCGCCGGTTTGACTCTCTTTATTTTTTATTATCTGCTGTTTTTTTTTATTTTCACTGTCGTGTCTCTAATTTCGGATCGAAGGACAGAAATGTCTCCTGATTATTACTAGAACATTCTACGTTTGTACACTGTGGACTAATCGGGATAAATAAATCTAAGTGATTGTGGATCATCGTGTGCTCATAATAACAACAATAATAATAACAATAATATTTATTGTAAGTCGAGCAGGAGAAACATCGGGATAGAATCCCGTGACCGGACTCACCCCCCCGCGTCTGACAGCTCCAGTAGGACCGGGACCGGGACCGGGAGAACGAGCAGAACCAGCATCAGAGGTTCTACGAACCTGCAGATTTAAAGGGGACGTTGTGCGTGAACGAGAACCAGTGCGGACCGGCCCATTACTGGTCCATTACTG